AAACTTTTGATCCCCCTCCCTCAGCCTCCTGGGTTACAAATTTTGCTTTTTTTTTTTTTTTTGGTACCGGGGATTGAACTCAGGTCCTTGCAACTGTGCAGCAGGCGGCGGAACCACTGAGCTAAATCCCCGGCCCAGTTACAAATATTTTTAAGCATATCAGTAGCCATACAGGTGATAGAATTAATAGAATTGTGTTCCAGTCATCAATTTTCAGAAGTAAATGATCATTTCTACAAGTTAAACTTCCTGCCTCAGCCTCCCAGAGTAGCACAGTATGGCATGTGGTAAATATTCTTTTAAATGCTACTATGAACTCTGGCCCTGAGTTCACCTACAATATCTACGCATTATGTTAAAAAAAATCTATACATTATGTTATAAACTTCTTTTTCAATATTTAGGATAGGTAAAGAATTATCTAAGGATTAATAAAGTATTCTCAGTATTGGTTCTTAGTAAATATGCATTTAGGGCCGGGGATTTAGCTCAGTGGTTCTGCCACCTGCTTCGAAAGTGCAAGGTCCTGAGTTCGATCCCTGGTACCAAAAAAAAAAGAATGTAAGTATGCGTTTACAAGTAGAGAAAATTAGTTTCCTTGTCATTTTTTAAAAGATTACCCTAAAGGAGTTTATACTGTTTAAAAGATTTTAGAGCTCAGTTACTCCAAATGTGCCCCCCCTTCATCATACTCCCTATTAATTGTCTGTTGCCAGGTGTTTGCTTTTTAAAATACTATTTTACTGGGAAGAAGGATTGATCACGCATTGGGTGCTGAAGACTAATAATGAAGCCAGACTTCATGGCACACGCCTGTAATCCCAGTGCTCTGGGAAGCTGAGGCAGGAAGATCACAATTTCAAGCCCAGCCTGGGTTACTTGGCATAATCCTGTCTCAAAGTAAAAAATGTTTTAAAACAACAAAAAGTGGTAGAGATGTAGCTCAGTGAGAAGGCCCTAGGGTCAATTCCCAATACCAAACAAACAAACTAAACAAATAAGTAAATGCCTATGTCAGGCTGATAATTTTTACTGAAACATGTCATCTCTCCGTTTAATGGAGAAAGAAAACTTAATTTTACCAAGGCCTCAGAGTTCATGACTTCAGAATTAATTTCAAATCAATTAGCAATCTCAAAGCTTGACAGAATGTCAGAAAGAATTGAGACCAAGTTTGGCTAGGAATATTCACCTGCTATAAATGGGGATTATGGCTGCCCAGCATAAATCATTTTTGAAGGTTAAAATGTGATATTAAAATGAAAGATTCTTAACCTTCTCAGTATGGCCACAAAAGTCTAAATTACATAGTCTGAATCCAGCGAAATTTTTTTGAGGGAGAAGGGCTACTGGAGATGGAACCCGGGGCCTTTACACTGCCTCCCCACTTTTTCTTTTTTTTTTTTAATTTTTTTTGTTTTGATTTTTTTTTTTGGTACCGGGATGGAACTCGGGACCTTGCGCTTGGGAGGCAGGTGCTGGAACCACTGAGCTAAATCCCTGGCCCTCCTTTTTCATTTTTTAGACAAGGACTCCTAAAGTCACTGAATTGCCCCGGCAGAGTTTGAACTTACAGTTCTGCTGCCGCCTCCCAGAGTACTGAATTATTCCCAGCCCATGTGAAATTCTTCATTTTTTTCTATTTTACAGTTCATTTTTAGAAGATTTTTCATTTTCAGATAGATCCTTCATAATGAGACAATTTAAAAGTTAGGAATGCCACCTGCCTTGCAAGCGTAAGGACCCCAGTTTGATCCTCGGTAACAACAACAACAAAAAAGTTAGGAACAGCCTCATAGTTACACCAGAAATTAAACAGATTTGCAGATTCCTGTATGACAGTTGAAATTGTAACGAGGAAGGCACCTATCCTCTTAACAAACATGTATTTGAGACTTGCTTTGTAACACAGGGCCCTTTATTATTTATAAGACAATTTTTTTTTTGGTACTGGAGATCGAACTTGGGTCATTGCACTTTCGAGGCAGGCGGCAAAACCACTGAGCTAAATGCCCGGCCCTTATAAGACAAATTTTATATTTATAAGATTAACTATGAACTTCACAGCTGATGGGGTAGGGAGGATTAAGTAACTTGCTGAAGATTTCATTGCTCTTACTATGTACAAACACTGAGTAGACAGACTCCACTTTTTTCTTTTATTGGTACCTGGGATCCAACTCGGGTCCTTGCGCTTGCACAGCAGGCGGCGAAACCACTGAGCTAAATCCCCAGCCCCACACTCCACTTTTGTCTTTCTGAGTCTGGCTTCTTTCACATAGCAATCTGAAAATATACATGTATATAATATATATAATTTTTTGTACTGGTAATTGAACCAAGAGTCTTCATACTGAGCTATACTCCCAGACTTTCTTTTTTGCTACCAGGGATCGAACTCGGGATCTTGCGCTTGCAAGGCAGGTGGCTGAACCACTGAGCTAAATCCCCATCCCGGCCTTTTTATTTTTTGATACAGGGTCTCGTTAAGTTGTCCAGGCTTGACTTGAATTTGCAGTCATCCTACTATTACAGGAGGCATGTGCCACCACACCCAACTCATACAGTAATATGTGTTGTTTTCAAGATTCATTTATCTCATAGCATGTGTGAGTATTTAATTTCCTTTTATGGCTGAGTAATGTTCCATTGTACGCATATATCACTATCCATTCATTGATTTCCATTTGAGTTGTTTCTACTTTGAGTGCTAAAGAGTAATTTAGCTACAAACATTCATTACTAGTTTTGTGTGGACATGTTTTCATTTACATACTTTGAAACTTTACAGAACTGCCACACTTTCCCCCAAATTGAGTGCACTATTTTAACATTCCCAGAAGCAGTGAATGAGGTTCCAGTTTTTTTCACATTCTTGCCAACACCTGTTATTTATTATCTGCCTCATTGATTACAGCCATCCTAGTGAGTATAAAGTAGTATGTCATTGTGCTGTGATTAGCATATCCCTATGGCTAATGATATTGAGTATATTTTCATATCATTTGCCCTCTTTAATTATATTATGTCTTTTTATTAGATATGATTTATATATATATATTCTAGATATAAGCCCCATATCAGATATGTATATGATTTGTAAATACTTTCTTGCATTACATGGGTTATCGTTACACTTTTTTTATTTATTTGAATTTTTTTGGCCTTCTTTTGTTTTGCTTTTTCAGACAGGGTCTTGCTGTGTAGTCCAAGCTGGCTGGGAATTTGAAATCTCCTGTCTCAGCCTTCCAAGTGCTGGGATTACAGGTGTGAGCCACTATACACATCTGGATTTTAATTTTGATGAAATGCTTACTTCAATTACTTTTCTTTTGTTGCTTTTGGGGAGGGGCAGTGGTAGGGATTGGACTAGGCCCTCATACATGCTAGACAGGTGTTCCATAATTGAGCTACACTCTTAACCTTTGTTACTTTTGCTTTTGGTTGTTATATCAAAAAAACTATTGCTACCTAGGTGTGGTGGCACACACCTGTAATCCCAGCTACTGGGAAGGTTGAGACAGGAGGATTGTGAGTTCAAGGCCAGCCTGACCAACATAACATTTCCCTGAAAATGAGATGTAACTGGAAAATAAACCCTAGCATGATTTTTCAGGATGCTCAAAATATAAGCATTACCCCGAAAATAAGCTCCAGTTAAGATTGTCAGCCAGATGGATGCATTTAGTATATCTGTTGGAATACATTACAGAGACACTGAGTTATAAAATAATATTGCTATAATTAAATACAAATGAAATTGACAGTACTTAAATGATAATATAAATGACAGTATAAGTAGTTGTAAATGCCCAAGTGAGTACCTTTTTTTTGGTATGGGGATTGAACTCAGGACCTTGCACTTGTGAGGCAGGTGTGGTGCCACTGAGCTTTTTTTTTTTTAATTCATTAAGTTTATTGGTACATTTTAGGTATACATATGATCACATTCATCATTGGGAATTTGCACTTGTACGTGATATATCTTGGTTCTTATTTTTTCCCATTCCTCTTCCCTTCCTTCAACTCTTCCACCCCTCCCTATTTACAAAAGCTTTATTTCTGTTTTTTCCTTCTTTTTAAAATTTTTTTCTTTCCCTTCTTTCCTTTCCCCCTCCTCCCCTCCCTAGTTCCCCATACATTTTGGTCCTCATTTACAATTTCATTTTCTCACACTGGAGAAACAATTCGGTATTTACACGTGTCCTATTTATTTCACTTTAAGAGTATGGCCTCTAGGTACATCCATTTAACTATAAATGTCTGGAATTTATCGTTCTTTATGGCTGAGCAGTACTCCATTTTATTAAACAAACAAACAAACAAACACATCTTTATCCAGTCACCAGCTGATGGGCATTTGGGCTGTTTCCAAGATTTAGCTATTACAAAATATGCCACTATAAACATTGGTACACATGTATCGCTGTGGTATGATGGTTTTAATTCTTTTGGGAACATACCCAGAAGGGGAATAGCTGGGTCAAATGGGACCTCTAATCCTAGTGTTTTGAGGTATTTCTACAGTGGTTTCCACAGTGGTTGCACCAGTCTACACTCCCACTAACAGTGGAGAAGGGTTCCTCTCTCCCTGTTCCAGAAAATCGCGGAAAGAAATGCAGGGAGACACAGAATTTGGGTAAAATAAAAGTTTTGCTTGCAAGCAGGCGGAACTGCCAGAAACTGGTCTGGTTAAATGTCCGCATGCTGCGTTCTTTGTTATTCACCTTTTCTTTGTTATTTACCTTTTATACTTTTGTCAGTCTTTATCTCATCCCTAGTGGTCTCTGTTAAGTAAATAAAGTTCCAATTTCTGGTTAATGGTTAAACACAGGTGGTTTCTGTCGCTGATTACAGTCCTAAACACAGGACAGTTAGGCACATACATCACAGGTTTGTTCGGGGATTGCCACTTTGATCTTCAGAGCTAAGATGTTATCTATAGTAGAGCTACAGATCAAAGGAGCTATACAACCTTCACTTTAAACAGCAAAAGCAACAGGCTAAGGCAAGCTTTTAAAGGGATATACTACCTATTTTGCTTCCACAACTACGTTAATAGCTAATCTACTAAACTTATTTTAAAACTTTTCTCAATCATCCCCAAATCCCCTCCAGCATCTGTTATTGGTTGATTTCTTGATAGCAGCCATTCTTTCTGGAGTGAGGTGGAATCTCAGCATTGTTTTAATTTGCATCTCTTGAATGACCAGTGATGTTGAACATTTTTTCTTAAGTTTATTTGCTGCTTCTACTTCTTAGTCTGAGAAATATAACATAGTTATATTATGTTTGAGATAATATAAATGACAATATAATTATTTGTAAATACCCAAGTGGGTGCCTTTGGACAAGAGGTAAATGGCTGTGTAAACATAAGTTGGAGACTGATTGCTGAGTGACCAATCAATACAAATAAATCCCTCAGAGGGTACTTGATAATGGAGGAATGTGTTTGTGTCTAATATGAATATTCATAATCCAGCACGTCTGAGTTGTAACGAATTTATTTAATGTACTCATGTGAAATAAACATTTTCTGAATCTTGGTGCCTGCAAGTTCTCATCTCTTTTGTACAGACCATCATTCTTTTTTTTTTTTTTTTTTTTCCCCCGGTACCTGGGATTGAACTCAGGATCTTGTGCTTCCCAGGCAGGTGCAGCACCACTGAGCTAAATCCCTGGCTGGGACCATTATTCTTTTTTTTTTTTTTTTTTTTTTTTTGTCCCGGGGAGCGAACTCAGGTCCTTGCGCTTGCACAGCAGGTGGCGAAACCACTGAGCTAAATCCCTGGCCCAGGGACCATTATTCTTGACTGTCATCATTTTCGTTGCCACTCTTGTCTTGTAAGCCTTCAGTTTACACTGTATTTAATGGAAACTTTGTGAAGCCAGCCAGCAAGAGGCCATGACTTGGGGGAAGATTCATGGATAAAGTCACTGATGGCTGTGTTGCTGTTATGGCTTGTGTTTAGATGTCCCTCTAAAGCCTCATGTGGATGAGGTGGGGCTTTCTTTGTCAGAGGTGGCTGAATCTGGAATGTATGATGCTGGGGTAAGGGTGTGTGATTACTAAACCACTACACATGAGTGATTAGTTTGGCACCACCCTAATCCCCGTAGACTAGATGGCATTAAAGGGACAGAAAGATGCTGTTAAGGTCTCTCGTTGCTTTGCTGTTTTCTGCCACCATGAACTGTTGCCCCTCTGCCAAGCCACCCTGCCATGGAGCCAACCGATTATGGACTGAAACCTCTCCAAACTGTGAGCTAAATAAACCTTTCCCCCTTTAACTTTGGGTGTCGAGTATTTTGTCTCAGCAGCAAGAGAAAAGTAACTAACACAGTTGCCAATGCACTGTGAGTAGGCTGCATGGACAAGAAGTACTCCTTTAAAGAGACCTCTGTTGCTGGACATGAGAAATTGGGGCTAGTAGTTCTGCAAGAAATGGAGTCAAAAGAAATTCAGGCTTGAATTCAGGGTTTAAACACAGATTTTTGTGGATGAATATATAAATAAATGTAGATGTTGTACATGAAGGAAAGATTGATGTTCATGAAAAAAGTAACACATCCCCTGAAAATAAACCCTATTGCATTTTATTGGGGCAAAAATTAATGTAAGACCCAGTCCTTTTTTTTTTTTTTTTTTTTTCAGAAATAGTATAGCAAGACACTATCTTGAAAAAGAAAAAAATGGGCTGGGGATTTAGCTCAGTGGTGCTACTGCCTGCCTTGCAAGTGCAAGGTCCCGAGTTCAATCCCCGGTACCAAAAGGAAAAAAAAACATTGCTTAGCTGGAGGTCACAAGGCCTAAAACCAATGTTTTTTCCTAAGATTTCATGGTTTTAGCTCAGTTTTTAGTTTATTTTTATATCATAATCTTTTAACTTTTTATTCTGAAATAATTTTTTGTTTTTCTTTTTAAAATTGTTTTATTTTTATTAGTACATGTTTGCAGTGCATAATGATTACATTCATTGTGAGGAGTTAGTGCACATACATAACACATCTCAGTTCTTTTTACTTCCCCTTTCTTCCTCCTCTTCCCCCCCTTGAAGTAATCTTAGACTTACAGATAAGTTGGAAAGATAGTAGAGAGTTCCAGTCCACTTTTTGTCACATAACCATAGTATGATTATCAAAACTAAGAAAGTAGCATTGATGAACCACTGCTATTTAAACTGCAGACTCTATTCTGATTTCTTCTGTTCCTTCCAGTGCCCACTGCAGGGCACCAGCTTGCTTTGAGTTGGCACATCTCTGTAGTTTGCTTCAACGTGGCACATCCTGTCTTCTCTTCTTGTCTTTCATGACCTGGACACTTGTGCTTTGCACTTTTCATGCATTTTGTAGAAGGTCTTTCAACCTGAGCTTGTGATTTGTCATGTTCAGGTGGAGGAAGTAAACCATGAAGGTGATGCACCTTCCCACATTGGATTGGGGGTCCGTGTACCTGTATGTCTTGGTGGTGGTGTGTGAACTTGATCACTTGAAGTATTATCTGTCATATTCTGTACCATAAAGTTAACAGTTTCCCCTTTTAATGCTCTGCTTGTTAGGGACTTGTAAGTCCAGCTCACTTTCAAAGAAAAGAGAATGTTTGAATATGTCATTACATTCATTTATACTATCTGTGGCTTTCTCTGTGCTTTTGAAATGAAATTCATTCTGACAGAGGGAATGGGATATACTTTTTTCCAATGGTTTTCTAGCTACTTAAGCACCACTTAATGAGTAACTATCTCTTATCCCTGATTTGAAATGTCATCTTTATCATATACCACAAATCTGTATGTACTCTGTTTTGGATCTGTTTTTATTTCTTGTTTATTTGGTGGTTTTAAAATATTTAAGATAGGGGCTGGGGGTGGGGTAGACATAGCTCAGCAGCACAGCATCTGCCTGGCAAGCACAAGGTCCTGAGTTCAATCCCCGGTACCCCCCAAAAAATTTTTTTAATTTAAAAAATAAAATAAAATATTTAAGATTGATGCCAGGAGTGGTGGCACAGGACTGTAATCCCAATGCTCAGGAGGCTGAGGCAGGAGGATCACCTCGGAGCTCAAGGCCAGCCTGAACTACATAGTGAGACCCTTTCTCAAAAAAACAAAAACACTGCTGTGCAAGTGCAAGGACCCAAGTTCAATCCCTGGTACCAAAAAAAAAAAAAATTAAGATTGAATAAACTTTATGAAAAAGGCTACTGAATTGTTTATCTAAGAAAGAGTGTAACGTACTTCCATTTACTGTATGTCACTCATTGAGAATAATCATTCAGTTTGGATGCTTTTCTGGTTTATTCCAAAGAAAACTGATTTGGGGGGAGGTACTGGGGATCGAACTCAAGACCTTGCGCTTGCGAGGCAGGCGCAACGCCACTGAGTTAAATTCCCAGCCCTGAAAACTGATTTTTAAAATGATAATAATGTTCATAATTTTTTGCAGCATATCGGTGCCTTCAAACCTTAAAACTTAATATTCTACCTCTGTGTGCTGCAAGATGGTCTTCAACTTCTGTTGTACCTCGAATTACTACCCACTATACTATTTATCCCCGGGATAAGGACAAGCGATGGGAAGGTAAATAGTTTGTGTAAAAAATTGGAGACTTTTCTAAATACTTTGTTTCATTTTGTGGAAGGGGATATTTTATTTTTCTTGATATTGTTAAAACATGTAATATTTTATGGCTTTAACAAATACATTACATATTACTACATAGATAAGTAAATATTTGCTAAATTTGTAACAATGAATCTCAAAGTCAAAAGTTGCTCTAAGGAAGGTGAAAGAAGATTTGCACTGAAACAGACCTACAAATACATCAAACTAATATAATAAAATACGTATATAATTTTGTAAAGCATGAGAACTTTTAGAAATAACACTCTAAAGCATAGTGGATAATTTCTTCATCACCATGTGATTCATCATGTCATATTAGTTCCAGGGCTCTTACTTTTTTGTGGCACTGTTTCTTCCCAGGAGTGAGCATGGAGAGATTTGCAGAAGAGGCAGACGTGGTGATCGTTGGTGCGGGCCCTGCCGGGCTCTCTGCCGCTGTCCGTCTGAAGCAGTTAGCTGCAGAGCGTGAAAAGGATATCCGCGTGTGTCTCGTGGAGAAAGCTGCTCAGATAGGAGCCCACACGCTCTCAGGAGCTTGCCTTGATCCAGGGGCTTTTAAAGAACTCTTCCCAGACTGGAAGGAGAAGGGGGTATGAAAAGTTGCTTCTTACACAAACTCTAATCTTTGCTCTAGCTCTCTTCCCAAATTACTGGAATAGAAGGAACCCTCCTCATGTAATTCTGTCTTTTAGGGGTATTTATATATATATTATTTTTTAAATTTACAAATAGCAAAAAATTGACTCATCAGAATTGTAATTTAAGATGTTAACTTACATTTTTACACAGTACATTCTGTGTGTTGTATTTATGTGCTGGATTTAGGAGAAGACATGATTTTGAGAAGACCTCTGAGTACTTACACCCAGTGAAATACAGCACCTTTATTTTGAAGGTATTTTTACTTGCTCTGTGGGTGTCTGTATCATTGTTCTTAATGAAGTGTTAGGCAGAAATGTGTGGGACAGTGCAGTTTCTGAAGCCAAAGTGGGTGATGTCATTTCAGAAGAAATAACTTAATATGGCTTCCCATAACCTCAGCAGAAAAGCCACAGGTGCAGCATTCAGAGGACCAAGTGCTGATTTTATTGCTTTCAAATAAAATTCATATGAATTTGGTTAAACTCTTATAGTCTCGGTTTTTTTCTTCTGTAAGATAAGTTATACCTGTCCTATTTGCTGGGTAAGAATATTCAGTGTGTATGAATACTCTTTTTTTTATTTTTTATTTTTTAGAATGAGACTGGGTTTATTTTAACATTTGTTTTGTTTTTGTTTTTACTTAAATTCTTTTATTGGTACATTTTAGGCATACAACACATTTACATTTCTCATTGGGAACTTGTACCTTTACATGATGCAACTTGGTTCTTATTTATGAATACTCTTGATAAGGGTAAAGTACATAAAAGTATATAAATATCTGTATTCTTCACATATGGAATAAATTCAATTCTAAAAATTTCATCTCTGACCCCTTTTCCAAAATATCATGCTCTTTAAAATACAAGATAGGGGCCGGGGATTTGGCTCAGTGGTTTCGCCGCCTGCTGCGCAAGTGCAAGGACCCAAGTTCAATCCCCGGTACCAAAAAAAGTGAAATCTAAAATACCAGATAGATAAGAAGAAGCAGGGAGTTAGATTTTTGCAAATGTGAAGGTGACCAGAGATGGAGGGAGAAGGGAGGATGGGAGGGAAAGGGAAGGAGAAAGAACGAAGGCGTGTTGTGTACATGTCCCAGCTTCCTCGATGAATGCAATCGTTCCATCTGCAAACATGCTAATACAGTTTTAAGAAATCTTACAGTATACTCTTTAAAAGCACTTTAGTTGTGCTTCAGCTTTTATTTTCAATATTATATCAGAAATACATGTTGAATTTCTGACAAAATATCAGTTCTTATAGAAAATGTCTTTCATATCAGAGTCCTCTGTTGCTTTGGTGCCCTCCTATATAGCAGGTTCTCAGGTATAATCCATCGTAGTCACGTGCCTGCCATGGTGGTGCACACCAGTGATCCCAGCTACTGGAGAGGTTGACTGAGGAGGATCCCAAGTTCAAATCCAGCCTGGACAACTTAGCAAGACTGTCTCAAGAAATAAAAAGGGTGTGTAGCTGTGCAGTGGAACCCTTGTCGAGCATGTGCAAGGCTCTGGGTTCAGTCCCCAGTGCTGAGGAAAGAGGGGGAGGGGCAATGTCCATTACATACATGGTAACTGTCTTTCGCCAGAGGAGAAATAGAATTTCTCAAGTTTTTTCAGCAAGCAGGCAGTTTCATCTTGGAGCCAGGCACTTGCGCTAAACTTCCACAGAGACAGGGACACATGATGCTTGTGTTTCAAAGATGTCGCCAAGGCTCCGTAGAAAGAGGCTCCTGAGACTAAACTAGCAAGGGGCTTTAGCTTTTAGCTTTTAAAAGATTCCCATCCACCTCAAAGAAACAGAAAGGATTTACACTTACAAAATCCCCAAAGAAAACACCTAAAGAACACAGGGGTGGGAGGCTCACTTTCCTTTTTTTGTCTCCAGAATAAATTTAAGGTTTTTAAAATTTATATTTACAAATATGAACTAAAACCTTTTCTTTGTTTCTGTTTCAGGCTCCACTTAATACTCCTGTAACAGAAGACAGATTCGGAATTTTAACAGAGAAATACAGAATTCCTGTGCCAATTCTTCCAGGTAGAGTAGAGTATGATGAATAGTCAGAGCTATGGAAGGCTACAGCTGGAGGGAACTTCATTTCAAAGGGAGAAATCCCCTTCTTTACAGATGAGAAAACAGAGGCCCACAGATTTGAAGGATTCTTCCAGAGTTATACACCTAACTGTGGGAAAGCAGAACTAGAAGTCAGTTCTTAGCAGTAGCCTCGTAAGCCAACTGGGAATTTTTAATTTAATAAATTAGTGCACAGCAAAGGAAGCAAGCTGTAGAATGAAGAGATAACTACAAAATGGGGAAATTTTGCCAGCTACTCCTCAGGGGAGTAATATCTAAAATGTATAAATAACTCAAAAAATTAGACTCCCAAAAATAAAAGGCTCATTCAAAAAATGGGCACTTGAATAGACAAGTCCAAATGACCAATAAATGCATGAAAAAATGTTTAACATCTCTGGCCATTAGAGAAATGCAAATCAAAACAACACTGAGATTCCATCTTATTCCAGAAAGAATGGCTGTCATCAAGAAGTCAAATAACAAATACAGAGAGGCTGCAGGGTAAAAGGAACCAGTACACTGTTGGTAGGAATGTAAACTAGTACAACCACTATGGAAATTAACTAAACTCAAAAAACTAAAAATAGGGGGCAAGGGATTTAGCTTAGTGGCACTGTGCCTGCCTTGCAAGCACAAGGTCCTGAGTTGAATCCCCAGTACGGGGGGGAAAAAAAAACTAAAAATAGAAATTCCATTTGACCCAGCTAGTCCCCTTCTAGGTATCTTTTGAAAAGTTAAGCCATCATATTACAGTGATATAGGCATATCCATATTTATAGTAGCATAGGGCTGGGGATTTAGCTCAGTGGTTCCGCCGCCTACCTCTCAAGTGTAAGGTACCAAGTTCAATCCCTGGTACCAAAAAAAAAAAAAAAACTATAGCAGCACGACTCATAATAGCTAAATCTTGGAAGTTGGCTCTGGTCCATCAACAGTTGAATGGATAAAGAAAATGTAGGGAGCCGGGGATTTAGCTCAGTGGTTTCGCCGCCTGCTGCTCAAGCACAAGGACCCAAGTTCGATCCCCAATACCAAAAAAAAAAAAAAAGAAAAAGAAAATGTAGGGAGACATTGAGGAACCAGGAACAACAGCAATTCAAACATGGAACAAAGTAGAGAAGAATGTACAAAAAAGATTAGCAGTGTGAATATTGACAAACTTATAAAGAGTTTTTCACAGAAAAGAAAATGATGGAAACCATTGGAAAGAATAACATACTGGAAATTCAGTTGGAAAAGAGTACCTGTTTATTACACTTGATCTTACCCAAAAGGCCGAGAAGCGATAAGTACCTGTTTATTAAAAATAATGCAAACAGCCGGGGATTTAGCTCAGTGGTTCTGGCACCTGCCGTGCAAGCACAAGGTCCTGAGTTCGATCCCCGGTACCAAAAAAAAAAAAAAAAATCCCTCAAGTAAAAAAGAATGTGGGGCTGGGGATTTAGCTCAGTGGTTCTGCCGCCTGCCTTGCAAGCACATGTTCGATCCCCGGTTCCCCAAAAAAAAGAAAAAGAATGTGCTGCTCTTCATGATATGATAAAAGGGCTACAACAGACCATTGAATATCAACACAATCTGAGGTGAAAATGAACAACTGAAAAGAAAGCTGATATGATAAGGAAATACTCAAATCTCACAAATAGGAATATAAGAATAATATTGCCAAACTTGTACATGAAATGAAAATAAAAGAAGAACATAAGATAGAAATAAGCTTTATCAAGATATGGAGAAAAAAGTTGAATTAAATGAAAAGCACAAAGATCTATAAAAAGGAGATGAAATCTCAGAGTTAAATGTAAAGTTAATAACTCAAGAAAAAGAAAAGCAAAATGAAATAAACTACAGCCAGAGTTTGATGCCAAACTAGCAAGAGTTCAGACTAAATCAAAGCCATATCCAGATGCTACTATTTCCCCACAGAGTATCTACAGAAGGAAGCTTCAGCATCTTCAAGGAGAAAAAAACAAAGAGATTGCAATTCTTCGTAATACCATTCACAGTTTGGAGCAGTCCCTTTCTATTGGCAAAGATTCTCACCTTAAACATAGACAATTTTGAGTATAACAGTAAATTCATTAATTACATTAATTATTTTTTTAAAAGCAATTGAAAAATTCGCTTCCATTTTCAATGTAAGTATACTGCCTAAATAGCCTAAATAATAAATGAGACAGCTTTAAACATAAAAAAGAAAATAGGGGCCGGGGATTTAGCTCAGTGGTTTTGCCACCTGCTGCGCAAGCACAAGGACCGGAGTTCAATCCCCAGTACCAAAAAAAAAAAAAAAAAACAAAGAAAATATTTATACACAATGGAATACTAAGCCATAAAGTAGAATAAATTTCGTTCATTGTAGGAAAATGGATACACCTTGAAATCATAATGTTAAGAAAAGTGAGTCATCAAATGTTAAATTTGTTGTCATAAAGGGATTTATTCTGGAGTTAAACCAGACAAATACAGTGAATTCAGAAAGGTCATTTTTGTCAGGCAAGGTGGTGCATTCCTGTAACTCCAGCACTTGTTAGGCTAGGGCAGGAGGATAGCCACAAGTTTAAGGCTGGCTTGGTTTACATAAAGGCCAGCCTGAACTGACCCTGTTTCAGAATAAACAGAAAATATTCATTCCTCAAAGATGTGTCCTCAGGATTCACCAAAGATTTCCTGCTGCAGAGAACTCTTACAAATGTAATACTGTGGTAAATTGTTTAATCAAATCTCACAGTACTCCATTTCATAGAGTTCATATGAAGAATAAGTATCCAAGATGAAACTTGTATCTTGCATACTGCAGAATACTGTAATTACAACTTAAACTATGTTAACATTCATGATCTATGCCAAAGATGGAAGAACATTTGCAAATAGCCAAATACATTCAGCTTATAAAACAAAAACAAAGAAAAAGGCTGGAGATTTAGCTCAGTGGTTCTGCTGCCTGCCTCACAAGCACGAAATAGATCCCCGATACAAAAAAAAGTCATACACACAAGCTTAAATATCACATGGTTTTCTCTTGTATGAGAAACCCAAAGTATACATAATTTAAAGAGCAAAATAAGACATACATAATAGCATGCAAGTAGATAGATCTTTTGCAAATGGGATAGGGCCCAAGAGATGAGAGGGAGGGGAGGGAAAGGGGAGTGAAACGAATTAACGTGTTACATACACATACCGGCTACCCATGCTGAATGTAATCATTATGTACAGCAAATTTGTGCTGATAATAAGTTAGAACTCCAAGCCAAATTTGCAAAATGCAAGTTGAAATTATGACCATTAAGATAGCATGTACATTTATCTAGAAATACTGGCCTAGAATTTTAATTGAGATTTTATCAAAGTCAGATTTGCAAATTAAACATGTATTTGTAGGTCTTCCAATGAACAATCATGGCAATTACATTGTACGCCTGGGACATTTAGTGACCTGGATGGGAGAACAAGCCGAGGCCCTTGGTGTGGAAGTATACCCTGGTTATGCTGCTGCCGAGGTTTGTATAATTCACTTAATGTTTGTGGCACATAATCTCTTTCATTTGAAAGTAAAGCAAGGATTTTACAGAAGTAAAGTATTTTAAAAAAGCCATATGATTTTAGAATTACAAGATTTAAAGGAACTTTTAAAAGATCACATCCAAAGAGCACTTGAATTTCTTTATAGCCTTTATTTATTTATTTATTTTTGGTACCAGGGATCGAACTCGGGACCTTACACTTGCAGGGCAGGTGGCAGCACCACTGAGCTAAATCCCCAACCCAGCACTTGAATTTCTTACATTGTGCCCCGTGGTGATTTTCCATATTATTAGACTTTTTTTTTTTTTTTGGTACTGGGGATCGAACTCGGGACCTTGCGCTTGTAAGGCAGGCACCAGAACCACTGAGCTAAATCCCCTGCTCAGATTTTCCAGATTATAACTGAACACTATAAGGGATAAAAAATCCTCTTACCTGATGAGCTATCAGGAAGACTGTTGGCAGTCTCTTCCTTATGTTGAATGGGAGTTATCTACTGTTTTATACTATACAGAACGAACCTGTGCCTTCTCAGGACATTTCTCCAGTTACAATTATCCTGTGCTCTTTCCTCCTCCATTTTCACTCTGGAGTTTTTTCTTTCCCATGCTAAATGTTCTCATTTTCAAACATCATGTTATATAATTTGAGCTCCTTCAGTATTCTTGTTACACTCTTCCAAATGCATTCCTTTTTATCTCCTTTATAAAGTGATGTGCAAAAATGAATAAATTACTTGAAGCCTAGTATAGAGCAGGGCTATCACCTTCCTCATTCTAGAAACTTCTTCCAAAGTTTTTTCATTTCAGTAAACATTTTTGGCAGTCATATCACACTTGTCATTATGTTTCTTTGGGAAAATTACTAAAAATAAAATTACCAACTCAGTAAAATCCTCTCTACAAGTTGTAAAAAAGAATAAAACAAGTTTATTATAGAATAAGCATTAAACCAAGAAAGAAATGTCACAGTCTAGGAAAGAAATCTCAGTCTTTTAAATAACCAGGCAGATAGAGTCTATCACATACTGTTAATTATCTTTCACGTAAAGGAAAAACAGTAGTTGCTTTTGCTTTGTTTGTTTGCTTTTGGTAAGCAAGAAGTTACAGATTGGAGCGGGCCAGCTAGCCCTAACTCCTCCAAGACCAGAAGCCAGGATGGCTCCTCATCCGCTGTTCCGCAGTTCGGGATGTGGCTCTGAGCCCCAGAGGCGTTCCTGGGGTGCGGAACTGGCTTGAGGTTCAGTGAGCTTTGTTAACAAAGTCCATGTGTGTCCCAGAAGGACTGAGAGGGTTTGCAGCCAGAACCTGGCTAGAGGAAATACTGAAAGGAAAGTGGAGCAGTGGGAACAGTGATCTTTTGTTTTTGGCACGAGAAAATACTCAGAAATTTAAAGATACGTTTTTATCCTGACAGTATGGAAGTGAAAACACCTAGGTCCTTGCGTTGTATGTGCTGCTTGAGTATGTTTTCCCAGCCATGTATATGCACTTGGGATTTTGTATTTCTCCTTGTTAAACCTTCTTGACTGTGGTCAGTGTCAAAGTCACAGGTAAGTGATTTGTAGAATCCATGATTTTCACTCTTGAGTGAAACCTGCACTTAAAGTCACTTGTACCCTCTTCTCTCCCTCAGCCTTCGCCATTGTCAACAGATTATTGACTGTTTGCTAGTTCTTTGCTCTGGTGCTGAGCTGGAGGTGGTCAAGGTTCTTCCTTTTCACACCCATGGCTGTTAATCTGGTCCCTCGTTTTTGCGCCCAGTGCCCCTGGTCATTGACATGGTGCCAGTGTGTGTGACTGCATGTGCTTTCTGCCCAGAGCGTTTCCTCCTGACAGGAAGCAGAAGCAAGTTAAAAAGCATTGCCATTTCTCATCATCAATTATACTTTTCCCTTTTCTTCCAAAAATAAACTGTATTCACCAGTGGGCTCTCACCAGTCTCTGTTCGTCTTGTTTTATATTTTGAGGTCTCAATTCGAGACACAGACTTTCTTGACACTTTCTTTCATTCCCGTGTGTGTTCTTCATTTGTTACAGGCTTGATTTCAAATGTGTCAGACGTGATTTGCTCTTTGAAGAGAGCTCTTGTTTATGTGATACGCTCTCCTACCCCTCCTGCAGTCCTCATCAGGGTCATGGCATTGTTTTAATTTCCAGCAGTTTGATTTGTGTTGTCTCATACTCCACAAGGGACTACCTTGAAAGCATATCTCATTATAGCCTGAATTTCAAAGCTTAGACTTCTGTTATCTAGAGAAGTGTTCACTATCTAAGAAACCTGTTTCTTTTCAAGGTTAGTATGAATCTTGAAGTGATAATAAGTTGTTTTTATCATTTTCAGGTCCTTTTCCATGAAGATGGTAGTGTAAAAGGAATTGCTACCAACGATGTAGGAATACAAAAAGATGGTGCCCCGAAGGTAATTATCTTTTGATAGTTGTGTGTTTAGTAAACTGACAGACCAAAAAAGGACCAGTTGAGACGCATGTAGATCTTGCTACAAACTATACATTAATTATGTAGATTTTAGAATAAATAGGGAATTTGTTCTCATTAAAAAAAGCAGTTTTGAGCTCAGTTTGATTTAGACAACATGTTTAAGAATAATTGTTTAGCCAGGTGTGGTGGTGGACTCCTGTAATCCCAGCACTCTGGGACGCTGAGACAGGAGAATCACAAGTTCGAATTCTCCCAGAACAACTTGGCAAACCTTGTCTCAAAATGAAAAGGGCTGGGGGTTGTGGCTCAGTATGAAGGCCCTGGATTCCATCCCTAGTACCACACAATTGTATAAACAGTCAAAATTTTATTTCACTCAGTGAGGTAATCAAGAAGCTATTACTAGGCCCAGGGATTTAGCTCAGTGGTTCCACCACCTGCCTCGCAAGCGCAGAGACCCAAGTTTGATCCCTGGTACAAAAAAAAAAAAGCTATTACTAAAAAAAAAAGTGAGGGCCAGGGATTTAGCTCAGTGGCATTGCGCCTGCCTCGCAACTGCAAGGTCCTGAGTTTGATCCCTGGTACTGCAAAAAAAAAAAAAATATATATATATATATATATAACTAAAACCTGCAGACATGTATTGGCCATCAGTGAAATGCACTGCCACCTCCACAGTTTTTATTCCCATGGACACAAATCCTATCATTACTAGCAGGTAAATACCAGTAGACTTTGACCTGATTTTAACAGGTCTGTAGGTTGATATAAAACTTCTTGCCAGGCCGGGGATTTAGCTCAGTGGTTTCGCCGCCTGCTGCACAAGCGCAAGGACCCGAGTTTGATGCCCGGTCGCAAAAAAAAACAACTGCTTGCCTTCGTCTCATTCAAAATGTCAGCCTGAATAGTTTTCAGGCTTTTACAATTTGTATTTTTGGATCTATGAAAGAAAGCCATGAGAATATACAGCTCTCATCTCTGGTGTTCCTTGGAAAAGACACGGAAAAGCTAGTTTGCTTTTCTATAACAAAAATAAAACATGAATTGAATCTTGATGAATTATGTTTATTTGTTTATTATCTGGTTTCCCAGCTAGACCATAAGCTTCATGAGGAGAGCGCTGTGGAAGGTTACTCCAGGGCCTGGCACAGTGCCGGGTGCGTATTAGGGCTCAGGAAGTGCTCAGGTAGTGCTCACTCTTTTCTGCCACTGTGGACGAAATGAAGAGTCTAGGCTACTCTTCTGCACGTCTTCCTGCTTCTTACTACTTCCTGCTCAGAAACGGCGAAGCTGACAAGGCGCACCTGCACCAGGGCTCCTCCTTGTAGTCAGCGACTGCAGGTTCAGGCCAGTCCACATGTCCTGCAAGCCCCAGCGATCCTGAGGCCTTGCCTACTGTCTCAGAATGACAAGAGAATATTGTTTCTCCTATGTGATGGTTGTTTCTTTATTATGACAATTTATTAATTAGTTATAAAACTTATAGATAACTTATTTATTGTCACAAAATTTACACATTCTTCCATCTTGATACTTTTTTGTGTGGCTTCATGTTTGTTCAGATTTTTTGTGAGTGTTCTGTGCTTTGTGTTTATAAAAACATATTTTGTACATTGAGTTCATACAGATATAAAAAGATAGAAGATGGTGGGCATGGTAGTACGTACCATAGACCCGGCTGCTTAGGAGGCTGAGGCAAGAGAAGCACTTGTGCGCCTGCAGTGGAGAGCAGCCTGAGAGCACCATGAGATACTGCCTCTCAGCAACAGGAGTACAGTGAGGTCTTAGGGTCGCAGCACCCAAGCTGACTTTTTAAAGAATTATTTTAGGAGTACGCTTGTGTAGTGGAGAAAAGCAAGGATCTTGGGGATGGTGTCATTCCGTGCCATTTACCTTGCTGTGGTTTGGGTTCCGCTCCCAGCGCAGCTCTGATCAACCCCCAGGACCCCACCTGGACACTGGCAGTCAGTCCCGTCTTCTCGGACTTGATCCCGTTGTGTATCCGTATCTTCGTATGTGGGACATGGATATGCATTTCACAAGAAAAACAAGTTACCAGTACACACCTGAAAGACACTCAAACTCTAGCAACCAAAAGTATTACGTTAATAAAGAAGCAATTCTTACATTTACTCTGAAAATATTTAGCAACAAAGATATTAGATCCAAACAATGTAATAAACAGTGAAACGGCCTTATTGTTCAACTGTTCGGATTGGTTGAAAAATTAGGGGGATCTATTTAAGCTTTTAAAGTGAATGCTTTATTTGGTGTATATTGCTTTAGTATATGTACTGTTGAAGTGAGCACTGGTGTATATTGCTTTAGGCAAATCACTTCGTAATGTGATTTTTTTTTCTTTTTTTTTTTTGTACTGGGGATTGAACTCAGGACCTAGCACTTGCCAGGCATTCGTGGTGCCACTGAGCAAAATCCCCAGCCCTATAATGTGAAAACAATTATAAAACAGTATGTCTGTGTAAACTTACTAACTGTATGAATGTATATCCATGTATACACATATACATAGAAACATGACTAGAAAAACATCAGGAATATTTAGTAAGAGATGCTTCTGTTTATTCTGAATTCTTTTATTCGGGAACTTTTTTTCAGTCTGAGGATTAAACCCAGGGCCTTCACACTGAGCTACATCCCCAGCCCTTTTTTGCATTTTTCATGTTAAAGCAAGGTCTCAGCAAGTTGCCCAGGCTAGGATTGAACTTGGATCCTCCTGCCTCAGCCTCCCAGAGTGCTGGGATTATAGTCATGGGCCACCACACTCAGCTTCAGTACCCTTGCTGAGTACCTACCCATGCCAGACAAACGAAAAACATACTACAAATGAAAGAGCAAGGTTCTCATTGTCACTCTTTTATTGTAGGAATAAAATTTCAGTTTTACAATATTGTATGTTAAACAAGGAAAAGTTAAAGTGAAGAAAGCATAATGTTCAGTGAAAGTAAGACCCAGAAAGTTAAATGTCACATGGTTTCTCTGAAAACCTAAAACATAAGTGAATAGAGTGAAATAGAAGAGAGACGGTGGGAAACAAAAAGGCGGGCTTGTGGGTGGTGGGTGAGGACATGGGGCAGGGCAGGGCAGGGCAGGGAGGGAGGGACCAGAAGTGATCAGGCCAGGGCTGTGCGCACACACCAGCCTGCATGGACGGCCTAGAGTGCATTGCAGGCCGCAAAGCAGGAAAAGGCGGCGGCTGAAGAGCAGCCATGTTCGGTGTGGTCTTGTTTGTGTTAAAAGGATGTAAATAGCCAGCATACAGTTTTTTGTCTGTAGAAATATCCTGGCATGCTTTACAAGAAAGTGTTTTGGCTTCCAGTGGTAAGACTAGAAAATCAAAAACGGAGAGGAGATGTTTTCATTGTAGAACAGATTTTGTGTTTTTTTTCTTAATCATGAGCATGCTTTATTTATTTGCCTTTAAACACATTACAGAATTTAAATTAGGTCCCACTTGAAACAATACATTTAGTGTCTTCAGTACCTGAGTCGTAGTGCAACTTAAAACTGACAAGAATGTGAATGTATTTTAAGTTGTCAGATGTTGCCATTTAACATGGCTTTTGCTTTTTATTTATTTTTTATTTTTTTGGCTTTTGCTTTTTAGACAACGTTTGAGAGAGGGTTGGAACTGCATGCCAAAGTCACCATCTTTGCAGAGGGTTGCCACGGACATCTGGCCAAGCAGCTCTACAAGAAGTTTAATTTGAGGGCTGACTGCGATACCCAGACCTATGGGATTGGACTGAAGGAGGTATCCTGATTTGTTATAGTTTTTATTTTGAAAGATAGAACTTAAACTAATTTTTATTATCAAGTAGCTTAGAATTTTGATTTAATTTTACAGTTAGGTTTTTCACTGACTGACTTGAAATGGTCATTATAACTAAAAAATATTTGACATATTTTTCAAGCGCTAGGAAATATTGATCAAATTATTAGGTTTTTGGGCCAGGGATTTAGCTCAGTGGTTCCGCCACCTGCTTCGCAAGCGCAAGGATCCAAGTTCGATCCCCGGTTCCAAAAAAAAAAAAAAATTATTAGTTTTTTTTCTACATTTTGGAATTGTTTTATCAAATGTTGCTTGCAGTGAGTCTTGAACTTGAAAATATCTAAACTTGACTTTTTTTTGCAGAGTAATAATACTTTCTGCCTAGTGGTATTGGACCTATTATCTATATGCTGTCTGTGGATGGTCACACATCCCACATAGAAGTGTTTATTTAAAATTGTAATAGTGGGGCATGGTGGTGCACACCTGTGATCCCAGCACTTGGGAGGCTGAGACAGGAGGATTGCCACAAGTTCAAGGCCAGTTCAGGCTGGGCTACATAGAGTTCAGGGCCAGCCTGAACTGAAAAGGGAGACCCTCCCTCAAAAAACCAAAAAAACCAAATAAATAAAAATAAAATTGTAATATTGCCTGTCATGGTGGTGCACACTTGTAATCCCAGTACTCGGGAGGCTGAAGCAGGAGGATAGCCATGAGTTTGAGGCCATCCTGGGCTACATAGTGAGTTCAAGGGCAGTCTGAACTACATAGCAAGACTCTATCTTAAAAAAAAACATTAAATAAAATTGTAATATGAAGATAATTTAGTTTATGGAATACTCAGCGTGGTATATTGCTCTCTAAAATGCCATTGGGTTAAATTTTATATTTTTTCTCAGTTATCTATCCTTTAGTTTTTTTCCTAAATATTAGGCTTATTACAGTGTTAAATTTTCTTTTCTTTTTTGTTTTTTTTGGTACCGGGGATTGCACTCAGGACCTCGTGTTTACGAGGCAGGCTTGGTGCCACTGAGCCAAATCCCCGGCACAGTGTTAATTTTTTTTTTTTTTTTTTTTTTCCTTTGGTACTGGGGATGGAACTTGGGTCCTTATGCTTGTGAGGCAGGTGACAGAACCACTGAACTAAATGCCCGGCCTTGTTAAATTTTCATTTTAATCCTTTTGTTAAATTATTGTTGAGGATTGAGGATATGGCTCAGTGGTAGAGTGCTTGCCTGGTATTAGGCCTTGGGTTCAATCCTCATCACCAAAAAGTACATCCATACATAAAATATTTTGCCAGGCATGGTGGCATATTCTTGTAATCCCAGCAGTCTGTGAGGCTGAGGCAGGAGGATTTCAAATTCAAACCTCAAGTTATATCAAATAAAGTTTTATTTGATACATGAAGGAATTTTTTTGTGTTGCTCATATCAGAGTTTTCACTTGTAATTAATGCTGTAGGACTCCTTTGTTTTCTAGTTGTGGGTCATCGATGAAAAGAAGTGGAAGCCTGGGCGGGTAGATCACACTGTTGGCTGGCCCTTGGATAGACACACGTATGGAGGCTCTTTCCTCTACCACCTCAATGAAGGGGAGCCCCTCGTGGCTCTGGGCTTTGTGGTAAGGCACAGCCCCATTATGGGGCACTCCGCTGGTGACACAGGGCCCCCAGGGCTATAAAACAAGGGCTTTGGAATCTGGAGAGTGTAAAAAGCTCTTTGTGGGACGCTTACTTCCCAATTACATCAATATGTAAAGTGCTTACAGCGACTGTAGACGTTGGCTGACGTAAAACACGTGGTGGTGGTGACTGTGCTGCTCCCGCACTGGGCGTTCCGTACCAGGCCCCGGCATCAGTCATGCTGACGAGGAAGCTGAAGCCAAACAGGTTAAACAGCTGTCCCGGTGCACACTCAGTGAAGGCCCGGGAGGAGCCCTCTCCCTGTAATGCAAGCACAGGCCGACTTCTGGGAACAAGCCGTTCTTCTTTCCCTGATGCAGTGAATTACATGTCGAGCACTGCGGGGAGAGGAAAGGAGAGTCTCTGGAGCAGCGGGGGGCAGTGTCAGTGTCGAGGCCGGCCTTCTCCCTGCCCGTTCAGAGGGCACATCTCGGTGTCTGCCCCAGTCAGGTGTTCAACGCATAGCCTTTGGGAGTGTGTGGAGCCACGAAGAAGCCATGGTTACTCATTTCTACACTCTGGAACCGCCTTGTAAAATCTACCCTTCTTTTCATGTCCTCTTTCTTCATGAGTATGATTTTACATTCATTTTCTTTATTTTTGCCATAGTGGTACTATAGTATAGATTGTTAGTTTATTTCTGTAGTTGATATTAATGAATGAATAATACATCTCCTTTTGTAAAAACAATCTGAGACACCCTCTTTTTTTTCAATTTTTTGAGATAAAGTCTTGCCGTATAATCCAGGCTGGCCTCCAACTTATGGAATCCTCCTGCCTCAGCCTGTTAGCTAGGATTACAGGCATGTGCTACCACACCGAACTCCTACACGTGCTTTTCTAATTTGCATTTTGATTTTCACAGCATAATGATATACTAATATGTTCTCGATTTTGAGCCAGGCATGGTGGCACACACCTGTAATTCCAGTACCCAGGAGCCTGAGGCAGGAGAATTGCCATGTGTTCCAGGCCAGCCTGGGCTACATAGTGAGTTCAAGGCCAGCCTGAATTAGCAAGACCCTGTCTCCTAAAAGACCAAAAACCCCTCAGTTTTTAACTTCTGTTGATTATAAACACAATGTCTTTTTTCACCCTTTCTTTTGCATGCAGATTTGATATAGTTATTTATTTAAATTTGCCTTGCTGCATATATTTTAACAAATACTATTTAATCTACACATTTCCCAATAAATATTCACATTTTAGCTTGGTTTAATTGGAAATAAAAATCTCTAATTGTATAAATACGTCAGTTTTAAATGTAACCCTTTTAAGGTTGGTCTGGACTATCAGAATCCATACCTGAGTCCCTTTAGAGAGTTCCAGAGGTGGAAACACCACCCCAGCATTCAGCCGACCCTGGAAGGTGGAAAAAGGATTGCCTACGGAGCCAGAGCGCTCAATGAAGGTGGCTTTCAGGTAAGTCACTGAGCTTTTGAAAAAGTTGTTTTTTAATGATAACTCAGAATTGCAAATGTAATACAACCAATTTAGTAAATTATAGGAAATTACCCATAGGAAGAAAATCGGTGGAATTAAAGTACCTAGGATTTATAAAACTATATACACAGTAACTACACCCTAAGTTTAGTTTTAGGAATATATTGATCTCAAAGAAATTTGTGACATCGCTTCTTGGCCTTTTGGCTAAGATCAAGTGTAGTATCAAAGAAATTTGTGAGGGCTGAGGATTTAGCTCAGTGGCACTGTGCCTGCCTTGAAAGCTCAAGGTCCTGAGTTAGACCCCCAGTACAAGAAAAAGAGAAAAAAAAAAAAGATAAATCTGTGAGCTCTTTGTTGGCTTTGTTTGTTGAGTGATTCATAATATTTCCCCTTGCTTATTTGAATATGTGAGAAAATTTGCATCATGGTATTTAGATAGAAATATAAGATGATCATTGAGTGATTGATGTTTGACTGTGATTTTTTTTTTTTTTTTTTCCCTCTGGTAGCGGGGATTGAACTCGGGTCCTTGTGCTTGCGAGGCAAGCAGCGGAACCACTGAGCTAAATCCCCGGCGAGCGATTGATGTATATGAATTTTTTGTTGAACTGTATAACAGTAAGAAGAAAAAAAAAATTCCCCTTGCTCCTTAATGGCTCAGAAACTCAAAGGCAAATTTAATTTTCAACATGATTCATTCCAACTAATAGTACTATCCATTCTTTTAGGTGGACTCTGTTTTAGGCTTAAGTGTCCTATTTTAGTATATGTTCAAAATAAATCTTTTCAAATGTACTGTTGTGAAAATAGTAACAGACAGGTAAGCTGATCTAAAAGCCAACTCTAAAAGTTACACCAAATGATTCGGAGCAAGTTACTTTACTTCTGGCCTTACAGGTCATCTGTAAAATAAAATAACCCCTTCTGTCTCTAATATTCTAGGAATCTAGGACTGTTTTAGAAATTTGATTTTTTAAAAAATCTGTTACAAAAGTAACAGACCAGCCAGGTGTGGTGGTACATGCCTGTAATCCCAGCACTCGGGAGGCTGAGGCAGGAGAATTGCTTCGAGTTTGAGGCCAGCCTGGGCTACATGGCAAGTTCATAGTGAACCACATAGTAAGACCCTGTCTCAACCCCCCCAAAATAAAATAACAGTCAGTAGGAAAATGAAGTTCTATAAAAATTCGTAAAGTAAGATTGTACACTTGTAAACGTAATCATTAAAATCTTAAAATAGCAGTGCCCCTAAGTTCTGTTATGGAATTCTCTTTTACTTTTTCCCCAGTACCAAGCTTCGAACTCAGGACCTTGTGCTTGCAAGGCAGGTACAGCACCAGTGACCTAAATCCCCGGCCCTCTATTATGGAATTCTCATTGGGTTGTTTTTCTTTCAGGAATAGCTACTTAACTTGCTAGATGTATTTATTGAATGGCATAACTATTTTCAATCCTTATTGAACTTCTCTGGATACTGTCCATAATGTTAACTATCAATCTCATTCTATGTAATTTACATTGTAAAGGTTTCTGTATATGCATTAGTACATATATCTATTTTAAAACATTGTCTTACGTACTTCAGCATCTCACATCATTTTCAGATTGTTAGGAAGAGATAACAACACACCCTTACACACAAACGTCCACATATGCACAAGAACTTTTTACCAGAATTTCCTACTTAATTAGCCAGATTGAGAAACTTATTTCTGGTAAGTTTTTGAAAACTTAAGAGGCAGTAATTTGAAGTATTCGTTGTTTGTTTTTTTAATTTATTTATTGGTACTGGGGATCAAACTCGGGACCTTGCACTTGCAAGGCAAGCGGCAGAACCACTGAGCTAAATCCCCAGCTCTCAGCTGTTTTTATTTTGATCTAATAAATATCGTCTGACTTTCATTCAGTCTACACCAAAACTGACCTTTCCTGATGGGTTTCCAATAGTTGCAGTCCCAGTTTATTGAACGTCGGCACCTAGTTTATTGAAGACAGCATTTCTCAGCGTGGCTTTCTGTGGTTCCTGGCTCTTTAACGAGGTGCCTGCTGCCACGAACCCTGCCCACGTTGGGTAGGACCCTCTCAGTCTAGAAACACACAGGTTTTCCTTGGACCGTGAGGTTTTTATTTGTAGGATGTAGGCGCCTGTTTTGGAATAACTTGTACCAACAATCTGTACTCTCTTACTAAACTTCATTCTCCCCTGGCCTTGAGTCAAACTTAGTGTCAGTGAGAGCCTTATTTCAGAATAGCACCATCACCATCCAGTCCCTAACCGCTATCACTGTTCCCAGCTTGCGGCGGGAACACTGTCCCCCACTCCCTGCTTTGTGATCTTGCGTCAGTGCCCTTCTCGTATTGAGTCTGGCCTGCGAAGGCAGCCACCAGTGAGTCCCTGCAGAGCGGGGCCCGGCCGGCTCCTCTCTCCAGCCCTGGTCTGCTGTGGGTGCTACTCTGCTCCCTTCTCTGAGCAAGCGGTGGCCCTGGCTCTTGCAGCTGATGGTGCTGGATTTCCCTTCAGCCGCTCGCTGAGTCTCAGTGCCGTCAGCCAGACATCTGCATCCCACTGTGCCAGCAGAGTGAAGAGCTCCACGCTGGCACTCTCCCTCCTGGCCGTTACACCGTGGGCCGCAGACCGACTCCTGCTGGCTAACCCAGAAATCCCCGCGCTTTATTGCGTTGTGTTGTTCTAAATCAGAAATGTATGCTGTAAATGACTGCCTTAAAATTTGTTTTGGAAATGCAGTTTATTAAGTTAAGCAGAACATGTTTAGAATAGTACTTGGTTACAGTAATGCCATGATTAGATCACAGGTTCCAACCCTAAGTACCAAACTAAATAAAAAGGGTGTGTCAAAGCCTTTGTAAGCCTTGTGTTCCTGGAATGCAGATAGTAAAAAACAAAATCACAATTTAGATTTCAGTCATTCAGGGTTAATTATTTCCAACTGTGACACAGATAGGTATAAATTGAAACCTTTTATGGCTGTGTGCAGTGGAGCGCACCTAAATCCTAGTATTCTTGGAAGCTGTGGCAAGAGGGTCGCAAGTTCAAGCACAGCGTTAGCTTAGCAAGATGCTGTCTCAGTAAAATAAAGAGGGCTGGGAATGTAGCTCAGTGTGAAGGCCCTGGGTTCAATCCCCAGCACCATCAAAAGGAAATGAATAAAAATCATTTTATTTACAATATGCTTCGATCTTAAATCTGTCCCATGTAGAGCACCTCATGGAACAGCAAAAAGTGAAACCTTAACCAAAAAATAGTAGTAAGGGAAGGAAGAAGACTGCTTGTTTTCCCATCGTTGTGTTCACATTCACCTTACCTTTCATCATTTCCCTGCAGCTGTAGAAACCTGATTTGAAATACTCAGTTTTGCTTAATTTGAGCTAACAGATATATTCTGAACCTTTGTTCTCCTCAGTCCATACCAAAACTCACCTTTCCTGGTGGCTTACTAATTGGTTGCAGCCCTGGTTTTATGAATGTTCCCAAGATCAAAGGTACCCACACAGCAATGAAAAGTGGAAGTTTGGCAGCAGAATCAATTTTCAGTCAACTAACTAATGAAAATCTCCAGTCAAAGACAATAGGTAAGAAGTTCTTACAGAAAGTAAAATTGTCAGGTTAGATCTGTTTCATTTGACCTTAAAAGATCTGTTTTGCATCTGTCCCTTTATACAGAATACTAAGATATGTGCTGCACACAAAAGAAACAAAAAACTAGATGAATTACTCTCAATGCTTACTGTCATGGAATTGTCTTATATTTCACTGACATCAGAAATAGACTGGTAGCTGGGCATGGTGGCACATGCCTGTGATCCCAGCACTCTGGAAGCTGAGGCAGGAGGATCATAAGTTTGTAGCCCACCTGGACAGCTAAGTGTCTTAAGGAGACACCGTCTTGAATTTTCTTTTACCAGTAGGGTATTTTTGTTTTGTTTTGTTTTTGGTACCGGGGATTGAACTCTGGTCCTTGTGCTTGCGCAGCAGGCAGCGAAACCACTGAGCTAAATCCCTGGCCCGTTTTGTTTTGTTTTGTTTGGGGTACCAGGGATTGAACTCAGGACCTTGGACCTTTTGCGCTGGCAAGGCAGGCGGCACTACCACTGAGCTAAATCCCCAGCCCTTGAATTTTTTTTTTAAGGGGGTTGGGGGAGCTGGGGCTGCAGCTCAGTGTGAAGGTCCTGGTTTCAAGTCCCTACTACTGCCAAAACCCTACAAAAAGTAGACCAGTGGCCACCTCCTATCAGAGTCCATTCCAGATTTTCCAGCTCTGCATTATATCATGTCCATGAGGTGCACAAACCAAGATGTCTCATGGATGCCGAGGCATCGTTCAGTTGAGAATAGAGCAGCTTTGCAGAAGGCAGAACTTGATCCTTGGCAAGCGCTGCAGGCCAGCCGCAGGGCCCTTCTGCTTGATGGAGCAGAAGGCCAGCACGTACACCTCAGTAAAGCCCTCAGCCAGACCAAGTGGCTCAGCTTCCCTGGCCCTGGCTGCACCCCTTCCTCTTCTCCATCCCAGCCTCACTGCAACATGCTGTGCTCACCCCATTCCATGGGCTCTGCTCATAACCACTCCCCATACTCCCTTTGCCTGTGCTCAGGTGTCTCCCTGAGGCGGCCCTGCTGGACAGTACACATTACTCCCACCCTTCCCACCTTTCGTCCTGCATAGGTAGGTATCTAGTCTGTTTCCTGTCACTAGGATGAAAAGTCCAAGCGAGCATGGATTTTGTTTATCCTGAATGCTGAATACCTGGCAACTGAACTCCATAGATAATTGGTGAATATTATTCCAAAGACTCACAGATAGCAGATGCCTCTGTGATTGGAGCTAGGTAACTTGGGTGCTGGGGATGTACCCCAGTGGTATAGTAACAGCCTTGCACGTGCAAGAGCAGATAGTTTGATCCCCAGCACTACAGAAAAAGAAAGTATTCAGCTTGGTTATACGTTCATATGTCGTTGTAGGAATGTAGGCCCACTGCATAGGAGCAGAAGGGGATACAGTAAAACGTAGACGAGGCAGGAGTGGTTTCGGGAAGAATAGAGTGGGCAAAATGGCTTTGTTTGGGTTGAACTTTTTCTCATTTTCTTGTCAATTGGTATCATGTACACATAGTACTGAAGCTAGCGTATCAGAGGAAAAAAAGGAAGAAAGTCTGTGGGAGAGGGGAGTGGAACCAGGACAGGAAACAGTCACTGAAAACAGTCACTGCGGAGTTGGTGAAAGGTAATGAGAACTAGTCGTCTCCTTAAATAGGAAATGTGTGCACCACGTTTTAGCTGTCTTACTCCCCCTAGTCCCTGCCACCATCTTCACCTGCACATCTCCTGTGTCTTCTCTCGTGAAAAGGACCTTGGTCATGGTGGGTTAGGGACCCACTCTTCCAGTAGCTTTTAATTACATCTGCAACTTCACCCTGTTATAACGTCACGGTCTGAGGTATTGGGCTTAGAAGTTCAAAATATTTTTGCAGGGACACGCATCAACTCCTAATAGTAGTAGTTCTAGTGATAAATTATATAAACATTTTCACTTTTATAGATAGCATGAACCTAGAATCTCTAAGCTTCCTTTTCAGTTTTATTAAATTTTCACACTGGTTTTTCATGCTACCAATTATAAGTATTCAGAGCTGGGATATGGTCTACTCATAGAGGACTGGCCTAGCATGCATAAGTCCCTGGGTTCCATCTCTAGCACATCCAGAAAGAGAAATCAAATGCTTATCAGCAAACTATGTTTCAGATCATTATCTTTTTGGAAGATCCCAACATTTATATGTGATTCTTTGGCATAGTCTTACATGACCACCTATTAGGAAATTTATGTTAAGATACACTCATCAGTTATTTCAGCAGCAAAATACCTCGATACTATTTTTATCCACCTTGCACAATCTTACACTTAACATTTCATTTTTTTAAATAAAAGGACTCCATGTAACTGAGTATGAGGACAATTTAAAGAAATCTTGGGTATGGAAAGAGCTGTATTCTGTTAGAAATATAAGACCATCCTGCCATGGAATCCTGGGTCTATATGGAGGCATGATTTACACTGGAATATTCTACTGGATATTGAGAGGAATGGAGCCTTGGACTCTAAAACATAAAGGTAATTCACACATACTTGAGAATATCCATGTTACAATTTTCAAAAACGAATAAATGCAATTTATTAGTTAGTGGAGAAAGTGACCTTGTCCTTTAATGTTTTCAAGTTGCTTTCTAAGAGACATTATTAACTGGTATCTTTCAAAGGACAGTGTAATATTATAAAAGGATTAGTTGAATTTCTTTGGTACATATTTTCAAGCTTTTATAATATGCTTATGAAAGTACTTGAGGGAATGAAGATCATTGGTAGAGGGTATATTTGGCATGTGTGAGGCCTGGGCTCAATCTCTAGCATGAAAGAGAAAAAGCACTTGAAAACTGTTATTAAATGTCTTCCTCGAAATCGTGGAAGGTTCTGACTCTGCTCAGCTCAGACCAGCCAAGGACTGCACACCAATCGAGTATCCCAAGCCTGACGGCAAGATCAGTTTCGACCTCTTGTCGTCTGTGGCTCTGAGTGGTACCAACCATGAACATGACCAGCCGGCACACTTAACCCTGAAGGACGACAGCATACCTGTGAACAGGAACCTGGCAGTGTACGATGGGCCTGAGCAGCGCTTCTGCCCTGCAGGTAATGGCTTCCTTCCAACCCTAAGCGTTCACAGATACTTACTTCAAATGTTTTAGAAATACAATACTATAGGGGCTGGGGATTTAGCTCAGTCCTTCCAGTGTCTGCCTTGCAAGCACAAAGTCCTGACTTCGATCCCTGGTACCAAAAAAAAAAAAAAAAAAATACAATACTGTAATTTTTTGTTTTATTTGGTACTGGGGATCAAACTTGGGACCTTGCACTTGCGAGGCAGGCAGCAGCACCACTGAGCTAAATCCCCAACCCTACAATACTGTATTTCTTTTAAGAAACTATTTCCCATTGGGCGTGGTGGCACAAGCCTGTGATCCCACCACTTGGGAGGCTGAGGCAGGATTGCCTTGAGTTCGAGCCCAGCCTAGAGTGAGACCCTGTCTCACCAAAAAAAAAAAAAAACTTTTCTGTTTCTCTCCACTGTTCAGATTATCATGACTCCTACATTCAGCCTCCTTTAGGACACTCATACCTTAGCTAGCAGAAAGCAGGAAATCTGGGGTAAGCCTAGCTCAGGTGAGATTTCTCCAGCTGTTCATGTGCTCTCAGACCAGGACAAGGGTTATAGAGTACAGAATACCTCTGTCCCCATGACTTTACAGCCATTTCTGTCCCAGCAGCTCAGTGCGTACGTGTTAGAAAAGGTTATGGCTACACTGAGTTCAAGGAATAGCCCTAAACTTTTATGTTCACCATGAATATCGTATCTTTTAGTGCTGAGCTTCAACTCAAATTAAAGTAACTGGAATTAGGTCTCATTATGGCATAGAATCGTACTGAGATGTGAAAATCAGTGCATTCGCAAGAGACTAGAATGTAGGTGAACTCTCCAAGGGCAACGACCATGACTATCTTTTGACTTAAAAAAAAAAATCATGTCATCAGTGTTTGAGGGTTAGGGCTGGATCTCACTTGTTTCTTCAGCTACAGATACGCTCTGTACTTCCCCCCTTAATGTGCACTTACATTACACCACAGCAGCAGCACCCAAGATCTTAATAGGCAATGGGTGAACATCAGCAGACAGCCTATTAAGGCTTCTGAGCCAGGTCTGCTGGCGCATCCCTGCAATCCCAACACTCAGAAGGCTGAAGCAGGAGGATCAGCACGAGTTCAAGGCCACCCTGAACCACACAGCAGGACCCCATTTCAAAAAGCAAAAACAATGAAGTTTCTGTAGTCCTTCATCCTAGGATGTTAATTTCTACTAACAAACTTTTAAAATTTTAAAATTAAGTATTATTATTTTTACTTCACAGGAGTGTATGAATTCGTACCATTGGAACAAGGTGATGGATTTCGGCTCCAGATAAATGCCCAGAACTGTGTGCACTGTAAAACATGTGATATTAAGGATCCAAGTCAGAATATTAACTGGGTGGTGCCTGAAGGTGGAGGAGGTCCTGCTTACAATGGGATGTGAGCTGTAACTGATAACATTCGCAGGCACATTTCATAATCAGACTGCTCAAAATGCAAATGTGTGGCAAACTTAACTTGAACAAATATCCTTCAGAAAATAAGTATCAGTAAAATAAAAATTTTATACAATATCTAACTTTGTCCCATGAAAATTATGAAATATTTCTCTTAAAGCTTTATAAACCTCCTTACCTCTTCAGGTCTTCAAAGATTGCAGTACCAAAAGCAAAATCCACTATTGGCCTTTATATCCAACTTGCCAAATTTAAATCAAGTATAAAAATTAAGATACTCAGGGCCGGGGATTTAGCTCAGTGGTTTCGCTGCCTGCTGTGCAAGCGCAAGGACCAGAGTTCTATCCCCAGTACTAAAACAAAAAATTAAGATGCTCTATGGCAAAGACTGGGATGAACTGGGGGAAGAAGCCCGAAAAGAGGACCATGAAAGTCACTATGAGGAAGAAGAAGAGTCAAAGTATGAGCCAGAAGAGGAAGGCGTCTGTACACAGTTCAGGCCGTGGCTCTAACTGTAGTTCCAGACACAACTCTGCACCACCCAAGAAGAAGAGGAAGTAACACCTGAACTTTGGCTCTGAGCTCCACTCTTCTCCGGCCAACTCCAGAAAATTTTATATGACATAGAAACTGGGTTTATTTCCTTTTGTGTTCTTTGAAGTTCTGCCATTTGTGTGGACCAATCTACTTGGGGAATTCCAGGACCACAATGACACATGCCAATGGCCCCATTCAGATGGGAAGGGAGGAGGAGGTGTTCTTGAAGAGGGCTGGAGGCTCCCACTGTTAATAAATACTGTTCATTCCTCTCAAAAAAAAAAAAAATTAAGATAATCTAGACCAGGGATTGGCATCCAGTTCATCACTTATTATGAATAAAGTTTTATTGAAACACAGCCACATCCATTGCTTACACGTGGTCTAAGACTAAGAAGTTACACTAGTTACAACTGCAGAGCTGAAGTAGTTGTGACAGACTAGATGGTCCACAAAACCTAAACATTTCACTGTCTGGCCTTTTGCAGCAAAGTGTGCCAGCTCCTGGATAGGTGGTCTGTGTAGTACCTCCAAGTATAAACACCAGCACAGACTTGCCAGATACATTACAGATGAGAAACAATATATACATACACAACTCAAGCTTGTACCTATTCACTCAACAAGTTAGGACTTAGGAATTTAAAACCAGGCTGCACACCACTCTCTGTAAAAGTGCAGAAAACAATTATAAAAGATCAACTTCACTGCCATTTTGTAACATTGTTTAAGAGAAAGTATTTCTAACCTGTAAACAATGAGGAATTGAAGTGTCAAAAACGCAGAGATCAGATACAGCCATAACTCTTACACTGTCTTACTGCCTTAACCTATGCATAATACTCAGGCAAAAGTGAATATTAAGCAAACATTTTTGCATATACGGCCTTCTCTTTATCTTTCTGTGCCTTTATCTTTTGTTTGACTTTCAGCAGTTCTGCCTGGATAGCTGCAGAAAGAAAAAAAATGCAGTTATTTCTCTAAGTAGCATTAAACAGTTGTGATGACACTTCATACCCCCTTGACGAAACTGCTTGTCCAAAATCTGAGTCCCAGTGACAGAAAATTCTCTGAGAATAACAAGAACCATGGGGCATAATTTCAGAAGACTGCAAAACTCAATCACAAAGATTTGCCATCACCCTCTCCATTAGATAGGGCCTTAGTTGCCTCCCTTGTTTGATTTTAGCAGTAAGAAATCAAAGTTTATTTTTTTCCTCTTGTACAACGAGGGGTCACGTGATACCCAGGGCTTCACACATACTAGGCAAGTACTCTACTACTAGGATACATCCCTGGTGCTTTGTATTTTGAGACAGCGTCTCAGTTGCTCAGGGTGGCCTCAAACTTGAGATTCTGCTTCATCTTTCTGGGTACCTGGGATTACCAAAGGTATTTTAAAATATTTAACTGTAATACCACTATTCACATTTGGCTTATTTTTTAAAAACAAGTTAATTTCTGTCATAACTTTTCTAACATGCCCAATTGCTAGAATACTAGAGGTTATGGCTACGTTCAATATACGGATTCGTGACCATTAATGCTGACATTTCAACTCACTGGATTCAGGTTAGTCACTTCCTAGAGCACACTCCTGGGTATGTCATGGAGGTGTGGACTTGGGTACTATATACAGTTCCTCACTGGTTCTTCGGCATTCTTCCCCTGCTCTGATCTCTACCACACCCTTCCAACACGATGTTTCTGGCTTGGAACCTGCTGACCATGGACTGAATCCCATGAACCATTAAGCCTAATTAAACTTTAAATTGTAGGTATCTGGTACTATGTCTTAGCAATGGGAAGATTAATACAGGGAAGGTCCCAGAACTTAAAATTTATAATAAATACCTTATCTCTTAGTGCTGAGTTTTCAACTGATTCTATGATAATAGAAACTGGGTCTCAAATGATACGGTGGACCAAACTAAGATCAGTGAATACTATTACATTCTTGAGAGGAATTAGAATGTACATTCTATGAGGGCAGGGACCTTGACTGTCATGTTCACTGCTTTATGATCAATGCCTTTGGCCCAGTAACACATTCTTTAATATCTGTTGGACAAATAAATATCTCTCAAAGTTAACTGACAGTGGTTTATGGGATAAATTTCTTTTTTTTTACTTTTTCAGTACGGGGGATCCAACTCAGGACCTTGAGCTTCCAAGGCAGGCGCAGCTCCACTAAGCTAAATCCCTGGCCCTATGAGGATAAATATTTATAGAATAAGAAACTTTTATACAAAACTGCCAACTTACCTTTATCTTCTGGCGCTATCTCTTGAGCTTTCTTAAGATCATTCTTTAATTGGGAAAAAAATTAAGAAAAATTAGACATATGATTTACAAAAATCACTTTTAAAACATTCAGAATAAAATTTACCAAAGCTTGCTCATATTCTTTTAATCCTTGCCATCCTTGAGCTTTGCGATACAGTGCTTTGGTATTTGATGGATCTATTTCAAGAGCCTACAAAAAAATTACAAAATTAGTATTAAAAAATAAATAGGATAGATATCACTTTATTGTCGGTCAGCTCCAAGTCCACCTTTTACTCAGTGAACGTGGAGCTGGAGCCCATCAGCAACTGTCCCTCCCTGCCGTGGCCCAGTGTGGACATGGAGGAGGAAGGTGTCTCTGGGGCGAGCTTCCCGGGTGCTCTTCTCGGCACGGTGCTCAGCAGTCGGCTCCTGGTATCAGATGGACCGGGAGAACCCCAGGCACCTCCAACCACACTGGGGATGCTCAAGTCTCTTCGTAAGACTACAGTATTTGCATATAACCCGCACAAACCTCTCATACACCCGTCATTTCTGGGTTACTCATAATACCTAATACAAAATGAGTAGTATACAAGTAACTATTCAATTATAGCTATATTGTTTAGGGAACAATGACAAAAAGTGTATGTTCAGTACGAAAGACATCTTCAAAGCTGGATGAATCTGAAATGGAACCCATAGATATGGGGAGAGCAAAATATATACACTTAAATGAAATCTTAAGTTCTTAGGGATATGAATAACTTAGCAGTATCTCCTCAAAACATTTGAAAAATACTACATGTGGCTTATGTAACGTCTTTTAAAGTCAATATTCAAGATTTTTACTAGAAAGTGAATAATACTTGTTCCTCAAAGGTCAAAAGAGATCCAGAGTGAAAGCTAATCTTTCCATTTGCTAACTTTTATCTCCTGTTGTGCGCTCCCTTCTAAAAACCTAAGGGGAGGGCTGGGGATTTAGCTCAGTGGTTCCACTACCTGCCTCACAAGCGCAAGGTCCAGAGTTCAATCCCCAGTGCCAAAAAAAAAAAAAATAAGAGGAGTATCTACCCAACTCCACAACCCACATTCTTAATCATTCACAGCTTTGTGTTTCAATGCCTAGCTCGCAGCAGGTGCTCTTCAATGAATAAATGAGCTGATATGTATGTTATTTATGTTCCTCTGAGAAAGAACAAGTATCTTTACAGTTACTAAATGACATGGTGTTTAAAGCAAAATGAATGAGCCAAGGTAGAAATGAAGATCCAAAATATTTCGGAACAAGATAACCTAAAACATGTTTATCAAGTCTCATTAGGTCCTACGTGGCAAGATACATTACAGTATATGAACATGCTTTTGTTTAAGTCCTTAAGGCAAAATCCCACATCTCCAAACAGTTCAGCATCACACAGACCTACCTCCAAACAACTGTCAACTGCTCCCTGCCAATCTGCCATCTTCAGTTTACACGCACCAATATTGAGCACACAGCTCAAGGCCACAGGCTGCAGCCTGGAGCTGTCTGCTTCTTCAGTGACAGCCTTTGCGCTAGCCACATACCTGAGAATAAAAGCAGTCTATAACAAAAGCACTATGCAATGCCACCCAAATTATTCCCCTTCAATTACGTCAAAGTGTCACATTTCAAATATAAAAAGCTGATGAAATGCTAAGTTTGGGGGGTTTGAGGCAGGGTCTCTCTTTGTAGTTTAAGCTGGCCCTTGGGCCGGGGATTTAGCTCAGTGGTTTTGCCGCCTGCTGCACAAGCGAAAGGACCCGAGTTCGATCCCCGGTACCAAAAAACAAAAAAATAAAAAAAAAGCTGGCCCTGAACTCACTATACAGTCCAGCCTGGCCTCAAACTCGCAGCAGTCCTCCTGCCTCAGACTCCTGAGTGCTGGGATTACCATGCCTGGCCTCAAATGCTAATGTAATACTCAAGGATCACAACCTCATTCAACACTTTTTCTTTTTTTGTGTGCCAAACACTGAAGTCAGGGCCTCGAGTAAAGCACAGAGTCTACCACTGAGCTACACTCACACCCTGTTTTTTAGAAGGCATTTTCACATGTTCAAGGTTTCCTCAAGTGTTCAAATGGCCAGTGAACGAGTAATTTCCCGAATCTAATGATGTGCTGTAGCACCACACTTCGGTTTTCAAAACTCAAAATGAAGAAGAGCTCTTATAAACAGAAGAATGCTAGCTACTAACTGTAGAGTGCAAATCAGAAAGACACAGTTCCTCCACAATCAGTGTAATAAAAGACTCAGAAAAGGCTCTTCAAAGATGCCAGAATGAGAGGCTGCTGGGTGCCAGGCGTGGTGGCACCTGTATTTCCAGCACTCTGGGAAGCTGCGACAGGACGACACCAAGTCTGAGCCCTACCTGGGTAACTTAGGCAAGACCACATCTCAAAAATAAAAGGAGGCCCAGGGATTTAGCTCAGTGGTTCCGTCGCCTGCCTTGCAAGCACAAGGCCCTGAGTCCGATTTCCGGTACCAAAATAAATAAAATTTAAAGAAAAAAGGTACAACCCCATGAAAGCCCAGAGTTCAATCCCCAGTACTACCAAAAAGTTAAAAAGCAAAAGGCGTGGAACTAGGTCTTCTCTGAATCTCACAGCATCATTTCATTGAGTACTCACTACGTACAAGGAGAAAAATGCACTTCTGTTACAGAAACATCAGGCAAACAGCGCTCTAGCCAAGCGCCAAAACTCAGAACAGGCCAACTGACAGGCCTTCAGAATGCTGTATCACAGCAAACACTATGTACAACAGCACCTACCCAAATCCCCTCGCCAAAATATTTAACCCCTAGCTAATCTGAGGAAAACAGTTCTGTAAAGACACCTGACTTGGACTCCACAAAAATGCAAAGGAGGGTCTGGGGATTTAGCTCAGGGGTTCCACCACCTGCCTTGCAAGTGCAAGGTCCCGAGTTCAATCCCCGGTACCAAAACAAAAAAGTGCAACAGAACAAAAAGACACAAGGAGTAGGAACCACAGATGACCCCAGACTGAAGAGACATCACAACCCAGGAGGACAGAGCATGACCTGGGCTTGGACCCTGGACTTCAGAACAACAAACCGAGACGACTGGGAAATGTGAAAATATGCTACCCATCAGGCCTTGCTGTGCCTGTCACGGGGGTGGAGGCTGTACAGAATGACCTTGTATTTTTACACGAGGAACTTCCTTTCAAAAATAGTTTCATTTTTTAAAAAAATGTTTTTAAAATAGTTTCACAACAACGAAAATAGCAAGCTTAAAACTGGTGAACATAGGTAAAAGCAGATGAGTGAAAATGTTCTATTCTTTGAACTTCTGTGTATTTTTAAATTTTCAGAATAAGCCAGGGCAGCAAAAGAAACGTACCTACTTATTCCATAAGTAATTTGTTTTGTTTTTGGTACGAGGGATCGAACTCAGGGCCTGCTTGCCAGGCAGGTGCTGTGCCACTGAACTACATCCCTGGCCCTCCATAAATAATTTGTAAAAAAAAAAAACAAACTCGATTCTGAATTTCAGTTTATAATTCAGCTTACAAGTTCTTTAAAAGTAATTTTATTTGCCTAACATGCACGAGGGATTGGGTTTAATCCCTGCACCACACAAAAATAAAATAAAATGCCTTCTTACCTTAAAACCTTTGTGTATTTTTTAATGGCCATCTCCCAGTTCTGAGACTTGAAAAAAGTATTTCCAATGTTTTTCAAGTCTTCTGTTATTAATAAAATTTTATCTACCTGTACAAAAGAATACAAATGAGCTGGAAGTTGGTGAGCAATATGACAATGCGAGATCCCATCTTTCTGACAGAGTGGCACGAAGCACCAACTTTCCATTCAGTTTCTTTTATGGGAGCCTGGCTGATCCGCAAGTACTCACATCTCTGAAATCCACATCTGCGTCTTCAGGGAAATCTGGATGACTGTCACCAGAGCCATCTTTCGGGAATAGTCCCCAGTCGTCACCTTCTTTCAGTTCCCCACATTCTGCAATAATGCACGACTGCAAAGATAACAGAAAATTGTAGAAGGGCGCTACCAGATTAACGAGAGACTTAAAAGCCTGGGTTTAAAAGCTGTCCAGGTGCAACTGTAACACTACCCACGGCACCCTTCCATCAGGAGGCTCGTCTATCTGCGGCAACCACAGCACCCTGGGTACACACCCAGCTGAGGCACCAGGCACTACTCAGAAACAGCGCACTGCCACTCAGGCACTCTTTAGCTGAGGCATAAGCTTTTCGTTTATGATGTTCCCTTCACAAACGAAGTGCCCGTCTACACCCTACAAGTATGAGTTCCCAATTCCCAGGCACCACTTGGGCTGGGGAGTGTTGCAGTCATTCTGATCCACAGACATTAGAACACAAGAATCCCTGGACATACCCAAGCCCTAACCCGTTAGTAATTTATAGAGGATGAGGAAACAGGCCAAGAAAAGTTAAGTAACAGGGACAAACCTCTAGTTAAACAGCACAGTGTGAAGAAGAAACTAGGTTCGTTGTCCTCTTTCCACTGTATACAACTCAACATACTGACTCAACAGTTTTGCAGGTATAGGAAAATTTTGTTTTGTTGAGACAGGGTCTTGCTTTGTCTCGAACTCACTATGTATCCCAGGCTAGCTTTGAACTCTTGGCGATCCTCCTGCCTCAGCCTCCCAAGAGTAGGTATAGGAAAATTTAAGCAATCTAGAAAAGATCACGAACCCTAAAGTTGCCATGAGTGTAAAATCTTTAAAACTACACTAATCTTGTAAAAGGCGTATTTTAGCCAGGCATGGTGGTACACACCTGCAATCCCAGCACTTGGGAGGCTGAGGCAGGAAGAGGGCCACAAAACCCTGTCTTAAAAATAAATAAATAAAAAGCATAGTTCACTGAAGATGTGGTTGCCAGCTGCTAGGTTTCTGGGAAGTGACTGCAATGAGGGCTCCAACTTCCATCAAATGGACTAATCTGTTTGTTTTGTTTTGTTTTTTACTGGGGATCGAACTCAGGACCTTGCGCTTGAGAGGCAGGCGCAGTGTCACTGAGCTAACTCCCAAGCCAAATGGACTGATCTGAAGACAAGTTCTTCAGCCAGGTGGGAGGAGGTAGGGCCTAACTGGAAGAGCCCGGTCACTGGGGGTGGGTTGGGAAAGAACCTCTGAGCCTGGCTCCTTCGCGCACCGCTCTGGGGCAGCTGTGGGGTGCCATGCCCTTGCACCCAGGTGTGCCTGGCCCAGGCCTAGAACCCATGGAGCCAGCTAACCACAGACTGGAGCCCCTGGAACCGGGCCGCAACCTTTCCTCCTGTAAGATGATTTTCTCAAGCAGCAAGAAAACCCCGACAACACACCATCCTAACATCTCTCAGCTTTTCCTGAGACTAACCATCTCATCCTTTAAATCTACATTTCTTTGAGACAGTAAATAATAAGAAAATTTCGCTTTTTACTTACTTTGGCAGGTTTTTCACCATTTACTTCTACATTTTCCAGTATCCTCGCCACACCTATTCCTTTAACCACTTGACCAAACACCACATGTTTCCCATCTAGATGAGGGGTTGGAACTGTTGTGATGAAGAACTGAGAACCATTCGTGTTATGGCCTGCATTTGCCATGCTCAATAAACCCTCGCGATCATGCTGTAGAAATAAAAATCATTTGAAAACCTAGGTAAGAGGTATACTCCGAATTGTTCTTTTATTGACCATTCACATAAAACTAGGATCACCTATACTACCTTTTATATCAAACTTTACTCTTTCATTATAATTAAAAATCTACACATTACCATTTACTCTGATTTTATTTTATAGGAATTATAATCTTTGTTTTGTTTTGTTTTTTGAGGCAGGGTCTTGCTGTGCAGTCCAGGCTAGCCCAGAACTCACTATGTAGTCCAGGCTGGCTTCAAACTTGCAGCAATCGGGCCGGGGATTTAGCTCAGTGGTTCTGCCGCCTACCTCGCAAGTACAAGGACCTGAGTTCGATCCCTGGTACCAAAAAAAAAAAACCAAAACCAACTTGCAGCAATCCTCCTGCCTCAGCCTCCCAAATGCAGCAATTACAGGCATGTGCCACCACACTTGGCATGAATTATAACCTTTATTAAATGAAACAGAGGGACCAGGGATTTAACTCAGTGGTTCCAATGCCTGCCTCGCAAGCACAAGGTCCCAAGTTCGGTCCCCGGTACTTAAATAAATAAATAAATAAATAAATGAAACAGAGTACTTAATCACTTTTTTAAGTTTAAGAAAGGCATAGAAATTAAGTCAGATAACAGAAAATAATAGCAAGGGGATTTATTTCTAAACTGGCCATCTTGAAAAGATGCTTATGTTTCTGTTCATCTTTCAGATGAAGAAGCTGCAGTAAGGAAATCTAGTAATATGCTTTGCCCTTTCTACGATGAAACTTTTTTCTAGGAAGATGAGAGAGTCTTCCCATGATCAGAAATAGGCCTCCTGATTCTTCCTTTACACATCCATAAACGGCTAACAATAAGGGGACAGTGAGCTCAGACGAGTCATTCCAGGAGGTACTTTCTAATCACAAATGAATCCAAATCCTACGGCAGTTATCCAGATCAATCAGCTCTTTCAGAATGTGCGAAAGAAATGGCTACACAGGTGTGGAAATAAGAAATCCACCTTGCTCTCACCCTGTTCAAAGGCTCCATGAGACCTGGTCTCTTTAGGCTTTCTACCCGATCATGCAGGCCCTCTTCGTGTTGGTGCACACATCGTAACTCTTCCCAAGACCACTGAGTTCGTGCCACCCGAGAGCCAGGTCTCCTTTCTACATTTCACCAATTTGATCATCGCGTAAGCACAATAATTCGTTCTTGTAGTAGCCCTCCCCGGTCCTCTCCCCAAATAGTAAATGAATACCAACTCTCTTTCCTCAGCTTCCTATTGCCTTTATCCTTCCTCATCCACACCACTTCTCCAACTTTTGAGGTTTTTGTGGGGGTTTTTTGAGGCAGGGTTTCCCTTGTAGTTCAGGCTGGCCCTGAACTCACTAGGTAGCCCAGGCTGGTCTCAAACTTGAGGTAATCCTCCTGCCTCAGCCTCCCAAGTGCTGGGATTACAGGCATGCACCACCACACCCAGCTCACTTCTCCAATTTTGAATCAGTATTTTAGTTCCTGCCTCTCCAAATTTCAACTACCTTCCAGGCCCAGACTGCTCAGCCTAAGTACCATTCCTCCTCAGTCTCCCCTGGTAATCTTGAACTGTAGAAATGACATCTTTCTCCTACAGGGCAGTATACATAAAGAGTATGTATCACAGGTCAAGTATTCCTACTTGGAAAATCTAAAATTTTATAGGCTGCAAAGTATGGAACTTTTGAGGAACAACACTCAAAACATTTCGGGGCTGCGGATTTAGCTCAGTGGCTCCGCCGCCTGCCTCGAAAGCGCAAGGACCCAAGTTCGATCCCCAGTACCCAAAAAAAAAAAAAAAAAATTCAGATTTCAGATTTTCAGATTAGGGATGCTCGACCAGGAGTCTATGTAAATATTACAAATCCAAATAAGTTTGATCTGAAACACTTTTTGTCCCTAGCATTTCACACAAGTGATACTCAACCTATATCAAGTTAGACAAGCACGTATACTCATCAATTTAGCATTTATTTGCATGCTACTATTCTCCAGTTGTCCCAAGTGCTTTAATCTTGTGTTGGAGGTAAGATTATAAATTCCTTGTCATCAAGGCCTTTCATTTTTATAAGTCTTACTGGGCCAGCGACAGAACTGGGCATATAGTTACAGCCAACAATACAACTTAAAGACGGATGGCATTTTCTTTCAAATTATCATTATTATTTTGTTCACATTCCTTGTCTCAAAGACAGCACTTTACTGCTGTACTTTCATGTCCATTCTTAAAACCTCAATGGTGCAAGATGGCCTGATTAGATTTTGGGACAATGAAGTTAAGAAGGCACAGGTATCACTAACGTTCTCTGCAGCTGGACATTAGCATACCCGCTAGTTTGGAAACACCCTGACATCCCTGGATATCAGCCATGTTTTGTTGCTCTTCAAATTTAAGGATAAAGATGCATAAGCTACTATCTTTATGACAATGAAAATATTTTTTCTGGAATCAATTTTGCCATATGGGAGCAACACTTAAAAACTCACTGGCTTAAGTGAAGCATGTAAAAATTGGAGCATAATGAAATAACTGGTATTTTTGCCAAATAAAAATCATTACTGGATGAAAACTTTCTATATTAAAGATGCATACGGGACTGAGGATGTAGCTTAGTGGTGGAGCACTTGCCTAGAATGCACAAGGCACTAGGTTCAAGCCCCACCAATACACATACACACAACACATATTTACAAATATGCTTCCTTCAGTAAGGAAAGAATTTAAACACAGTGGAGGTATGTTTTAGTGTCTTCCTCCAACAAGTACATTTCAAGCACATAAGGTTTATATTAATAAAAGCATGCATTTTCTTTACCTTATAGTGAAAGTTTTCATCTTCAAATTTTTCACCATAAATACTTTCTCCACCTGTTCCATTCTGATTTGAGAAGTCTCCACCCTGAATCATAAATTTCTTAATAACTGCAAAGAAGGAAAAATGGCTGTTGGTAACTAAGACATGGGTGATTCTGGCAATGTTAACTAACGAGTACGCAGCAATAGACAACTTCCACAGAGCATGGCTTAGGTCTAGCACTCCCATCTCCCCATCCATCTCGACAACTCTCATACTGTGAAGGGTTTTCCACAATCTAAGTCCAACCTACCTTTCACTGCCTGGTCTCTCACCAGCACACATAGAATTAGTTTAAATGGCGCCACTCAGATAAAACTGCCACTGAAACTGAAAGATGAGCCTCCTAAGTTTTCTCCCACAGCTGTCCTGACTCTACCTCCATTTTACAACATACAATGACCTGTTTCTTCCAACAATTATAACGTAACAATGAACACAGCCACTTCTTTTATTCCTTGTCATCAAGTATACAGTCAGTTAACAATGCCCATTGAAAAATGATCAACTATTCCCAGATCTTTTCAATTCTAAAGGAAACACTAAGGGTCACCAGCGTCAGAGACCCTGGCACTCTTGAGACTCTGGATTTGGTTGTAATAAGGATACCAAGCCAGAGGAGGGGGAAAGACACAGGCCATCCCTGGAGGAATCAATGTGCAGAAGTTAGCTTTCTCATTCCCATGCAAAGTCACAGAATACACTTTTCTCCCAGCCACAACATGTAGAGCTGTACATGATGCCCACAAAGCCAATCAGAGAACAGCTCCCAAGGTACAGGATTTATTGAAGCCTTATCACATAGGCATCCTCTGCTAGCACGTTCTAAAATTCCAGACTCTCGAGAAGAGAGCAGACGTCCAGCATAAACGACATGTTTATAGGAATGGCCTAGACACAGTAAATCACCCTTCAGATTGATGAAAGGTGCAAGTGCCAAGTTCCCGAACTCCTGCCAACCTGGAAGGAAACTGTTAGCAGGGCAGCAGCCTCAGGCCCACTGTGCTACTTTCCACATACACTTTGTTACCACATTTTGATACTTTCTTAAACATGAAAGTAAATCTATAGTTTGAGACATTTTTAAGTATCAATGATTTTCTTAAAAAAATCAAGTGGTTTTTTTTTTTGATACCGGGGATTGAACTCGGGACCTTGCGCTTGTGAGGCAGGCGGTGGAACCACTGAGCTAAATTCCTGGCCCTTAATAAATCAAGTTTTAAAAAAAGTTGCCGAACAAGGCTCAGTGGTATAGCCACTGTCACACAATGGGTTTGATCCCCAGCAACACACACAAAAAAGTAAGTACTCATTTGATTATAATTTAACTTGTCTATCCATAAACACTTACTGAGTGCTTAATAACTACACGAGATGCTGAAAACAAAATGATAACATATAACCTCTGAATTTATAGAGAACCATAAAGTAATAACTAAACAAAGATGTGATTACAGGGGCTGGGGATTTAGCTCAGTGGTTCTGCTGGCTGTCTTGCAAGTGCAAGGACCTAAGCTCGATCCCTGGCACAAAAAAACCCCCAAAAAACGATGTGACTATAAAGTGTAAAATGACAGATTTTAATCATATATTAAGGTCCAAGACACTGAATCATCAAATCTGCAACCTTCTACAGCCCGGGATTTAGCTCAGTGGTTTCGCCGCCCCAAGTTCAATCCCTGGTACCAAAAAAAAAAAAAAAATCTGCAACCTTCTCAAGCAATCTTGCCTAAGAAGTAGACATAACTTTTTGTTACCAGGCAAACTACCTAAGGTCAGCTCATGGCTTCACTGTGCCTTTCTCAATTAAATCTATTTGGAATGAGGGCCAGGGATTTAGCTCAATGGTACATGGCCTCTGGCAAGCGCAAGGCCAGGAGTTTGATTCCTGGTACTGAATAAAACAAATCTATTTGGAATGAAGGAAGTTAAGAAGCCTGGGGAAGCTAGCATAGGTTATTTCTCCACAGATAAACCTTAATATGTGCCAGGGATTTAGCTCAGTGGTTCTGGCACCTGCATCGCAAGGTTCGCAAGCGTGAGGTCCAGAGTTTGATCCCCAGTACCAAAAAAAAACCCACCTTAATACAAGCTCATAATTCATTCCAACTCTCACAAACCAACCTTTATGACATGAAGCTACTAACTCAGATGTCAAAGCATCTTCTTGGACAGTAATGGTACTTTTCTTTTCTTTTTCGGTGGTGGTATTGAGGACTGAACCCAGGACTGTTACGCTGTGCTACATCACTAGACTTTTTTTTTTTTTTCCAGACAGGGTCTCACTAAGTCACAGGTTGCCCAGGGTGGGCTCAAACTTATGATCCTTAACCTCAACCTCAGCTTCTCAGAATACTGGGATTACAGGTATGCACCACCACACCCAGCTCAACAGTACTTTTTAAGCTTTACCCCTACTTAGTGTTTTCTTCCTTATCACTTAAAGAACAGAATTTTACTATCTGTATGAAGATAACCAGATTCAGAAAATTTTACACATACTTCGATGGAAAGGACATCCTTTGAAATGAAGAGGTTTCCCAGTTGTGGGTCCAATGCCTTTTTCTCCTGTACATAATGCACGGAAATTTTCTGCAGTTTTGGGTACAATATCTGCAAACAATTCTAAAACAATTCGACCAACTAAAAGAAAAGAAAATCTTGTCAGTATGCAAAACAAACCATCAAATAAGCAAATGACAAAAAGACAGCTGGTACAATTATGCTAACAGATCATTCACGAATTACTAAGTTCTATTTACCTTTTCGGGGGGCAATTTTAATCACAATGTTGCACAACAGATTGCTTAAATTTATCTCTTTTTGTAACTGAAATGTATCTTTTTTTTTTTTTTTTTGAGACAAGGTCTCACTATGTAGCCCATGCTGGAACTAGCATTCTGTTCCTCCTGCCTCCTGCCTCCGCCTCTGGAGTGCTAGAATTACAGGCGTGCACCACTAGCCCTGGCTTCTGAAATGTATCTTTTGACCAACATCTCTTCAGCCCCTGGTACAGTATCATCATTCTACTCTCTGAATTCAACACCTTTAGACTTGACTTAGTGTCCCCTAGGTTCATCTGTGTTGTCACAAATAATAAGATTTCCTTTTTAAAAATTCTACTGTATATACACCACACTTATCTATTCATACATTGACAGGCACACTTAAGAGCTGATTCCATTATCTTGGCCGTTGGGAATAATGCTGCAATAACATGGGAGTGCAGGAATCTCTCCAACATACAAATTTCATCTCCCTTGGATACGGGATTGCTGGGTGTTACTATTTTTTCTGTCAATTTTAGTCTAAGTGTTATGTATCTAGATGAATTTGAAACATCACACAAAAGATCATAGTCAATTACAGCGCAGATTAGCACTGTGCAAAAACACCATGAAGTACAAATGGTTTTAAATCCTGAAGTGCATCACAAGTACAGTACTCAGAACTTCCAGCCACTAAGAACAGGAAAAGATGAAATACTCTTGAGGTCAAGATGGCCAAATTTTACATACATCGGCAACCTTTCTTTTTTGTGAAAACAGCTTCTGAGAAAAAAACTGACAAAGTTCTTCTATCTAATTCCTAAGACAGATGAAAATAAAACTAGCATTAGCTCCAAAATAAACTGAAAGCCCTTGCGTGTGTGTGGGTGGCGTGCATGCATTTAAACACAATGCCTGGCCAGCAAATCTAACCTGTTGAAGAACAGGTCCAATTCAGTTACAAAGAAACAGCCTAATTAGCAAGGCACAGGAGCTCGCGGGCCGCTGTGTATCCTAGGCAACCACGTAGCCGCCCCGCGCTCGCTAAATGTCCCCGGATCCCTCCGGACACCAGGGTGGGGATCTGGGGTCAGGAAACAGCCCCAACCCGGCCCTCGCACGGTGGGCGCGCACATGAGCTCGTTCTGCGCCGAGGGCAGCGCGAAGGTGCCGGGAAGCGGCTCCAGAACCGCCCCCGCTCGGACCAGGCTTTCGAGAAGCGCGCGCCGCCGCCGCCGCCGCCCGTCCGAGCTGCTCTGCCCGCGAGCGGCCGCCGGCGCTCACCTCGCTCCCCGCCGACGTCCACGTCAAAGAAGACCTGGGGGTTGCTCGGGTTGGAGGGCTTAGCTTGTGGGGACGGGTGCGACATGTCGCTTTGCACACACGCGTGGAAGCACCACCCGGGCACCGCGTGCGCGACCCGACCGGGCGCTCAAATCTGAGGGCGCGTTTCTCCGTGCAAAGCTGGCGGTGGCGCTCCAGAGTCACTTCCGGCGCGCGACCGGAAGTCTCCGGCGCGCGGACCGACTTCCGGCGCCCGCGCCCCGCGGCGTCTGACCGGGTGGGCGCGTGCGCAGTGCGCCCCGGCTCCTGTGCGTCCCGCGTGTTGTCGCCTTCTCTCCGGTCGTGGCGTGGGGTTTCGGAGTCGTCCCCATCCCAGCTTCAGGTCTGCTACGACCTGGGTCACGGTGCTTGTCGGGAGCGTGGAATGAAAACGCTTACCGGGGCGGGAGACGTAAGTCCCGGCGCCGCGGATGGCGGCCTCTCGGCCTCTGGTGGCCGCGGGATGCGCGTCCTGTGGGGCAGGCGTTTTGAGAGTGCACCCGGGAGCACGGTGCTGACCCCCGTAAGCGGCGTCACCGCAGCCCACCTGCCCAGCGTGGGAATCAAGCGTTTGCCAGCACGCACGAGACATAATCTTGGGGTGAGGGGGTCGCTTCTGTCGGTTTGCGGTCCTGGGATTGAACCCAGGCCCCTCACACTGAACTACGGCCTGAGCCCTTGTTATTTTGAGACAGAGTCTCGCGGGCCGGGCTCCTTAGACTCCTCCTGATTCAGCCTCCCAGGGTGCTGGGATTACAGACTACTCCACTACCACATCGGGCTGCTTCGCCTCTTGGTAAAGCCTAATGGACAGAACAGGTGTGTTAGCTGTGTTGATTGATTGACCCTACCTCTCTTAGAACCAAAGAATTTGGGTTCAGAATGATCCTTATCTTGTGTAAACTGTAAGGTATCCTTAAATCATGGGGAGTTCCATGTACATAAAACTGATCTTTATTCTTTTTATGGCCTCGTTACGAAGTTACTGAGTTACTAAATGCCAAACACCATTCCAAATGCTGACCAGATGAAACTCCTTAACTTTCACTACCCAGATGTTACAGTCTAACTGGGGAGACAGGCTACCGAGTAAACCTCCACCGTGAAGTGTAACTACTGCTTTGTAGGAAAAATCCAATTGCATCTAGCACACGGTGGCAGCACTGAGGGCAGGAACGCTTTGTAAGGGCGGAAACGGACAGGGTGAGTCAGGAGTCAGTGTGGCAAGGAGAATGGTAAGGAGGGAGCAGGTCAGAGGGTGTTTAAAGGAGAGCTACGTGCAAAGTAAAGCTGCGGGAAAACCTTCCTCGTGAAAAGCTGGTGCTTCAGCTGCAGGTGAGTCTGAAGCACTGCTTCCAGTTTGAACTAGAAGCCTTTGTATTTCTGTCCAGCTGTTCTTCAGATTGGGTTTTAATTTAGCCCGCATTTTTTGTGAAGGAAAAAGAACAGGGCCGGGGATTTGGCTCGGTGGTTTCGCCGCCTGCTGCACAAGCGCAAGGACCCGGAGTTTGATCCCCGGTACCAAAAAAAAAAAAAGGAAAAAGAACAATGAGAAATAACTTCGGTACTATTCCTGTAGCAAGGCCCTAATTTACTTTTGTTTTTGTTTTTGACACAGGGTCTTGCTATGTAGTTCAGGCTGTCCTTGAACTCACTGGAGTGCAGGCTGGTCTCAAACACACAGTGATCCTCCTGCCTCAGCCTCCCGAGTGCTAGGATTACAGGCATGTGTCACCATGCCTGGCTCAGCGTTCAGTTTGTAATACACTAATTATTCACTCATGTGTTTCATCTATCTCCTCACTAAAATTAAGCTCCATGCAGACAGGAATCTTTTTTTTTTTTGGTACCAGGGAATGAACTCAGGACCTTGTGCTTTTGAGACAGGTGAGGCCCAAGAATCTTTTGTTTTCATTAACTTTATCCTTGCTGGGATTTAGCTCAGTGGTTTCGCCACCTGCCGCCACCTGCCTCGAAAGCACAAGGACCCAAGTTCAATCCCCAGTACCAAAAAAAACCAAAAACAAAACTATCCCCAGCACGTCTACTAGCAACACTTGCCACTTAGTAGGTGTTCAATAAACATTTTTGCATGAGTTATATGGAACACTTAATGGCTTTGAGAAGTTTGTAAGGTAATGTTAATGAGAAATTTCATTTACATGTGACTAATTTGAGAAGATTCTGCATATCTCCATGCGCATTAAATTTCAGCACATTAAAATTAATGTAAAATGTGAATGTCTTATGTTCTTGAATTCTGTGTTATTTGCTGTGGTTCCCTGAAGACTTGGGACAACTCAGGGCAAAGCTCCTGGCTCCCTTGATAACCAGGAGAGTCCAAATCTGGCCTGGTCTCGTGTCTGGGGTGTATACGGATGCATCACTACGATAAATTCACATTAAAACTTCTGATCTAGCTTCCAATCAGCCTTTAGCTTATTATTACAAGAATCGTCACTCTTCTGCCATAACCTCCTCTTATTACCGGGTTATATATTCCTACTGCCTAGGAACGTGATCTAGCATTTCTACCCTGCTGTCAGACTTCTGGAGTTTGGACAAGGACAAATTACTTATCCTCTCTGTCCCTCATTTTCCTCACCTGGAAGTCAGAGTAAAAATATATGTCTGAAAAAAAAAAAAAGCAAACAATGTCCTCAAGTTTTTGGGGCCGGGGATTTAGCTCAGTGGTTTTGCCGCCTGCTGCGCAAGTACAAGGACCCGAGTTTGATCCCCGGTACAAAAATATATATATAAATGTCAGTTTTAGTGACAATTAAAGATGTCTTAGTGTCTGACACATAGTAGGCAAGTGTAAGCAACTATTACTAAACAAATAGTTCATTACAATAGCTAATACATAGTTGGTTACATATATTAATGTCAACATATTCCAAGATGAAAGTTAAAACTACAAAGGTGCTAAAAAAGAAATTTAAAAAAAAAACTACAAAGGTGCTTTGAGTGTGCCTCTGTTTTCTTGGAAGAAAAAAGTAATGTGATCTTCCTGTTACACAGGTTTCTGGGTGTAAAAACTCAGCCAAATGTTACTCTCACTGTGTCTAGATTTTTCACAGTAAAGTAACAGCTTCATATAAACTGTCCTGTTCCTAGAGCCAAACCAAATAAAAGAATCATGCGTTTCAGAACCACTCAGAAGTAGATCTCTAGGGAAAAGCGAATCCCAGACGGCAGCTTACCCTACTGGCAGCGCTTGCTCGGAATAACGCACTTGACATTTGCTTGTGCCCAGCAAAGAGCAGAGCAGAGCCAAACCGTGCGGTGTACTTGAGGTTAGGGACCTAGTGCCCTCCGGATGGAGGGATGTGTGGTCTGAGCCTCAGCAGTAGTGTTCCTATTTCTGTGTTCCTCGGAAGTAGGTTAGGTAATAGACCCTCCCACAGCCTCTCTCACCTCTCCTTGCCCAAAGCTCCGCCGGAACAAGCCACTAAGCACTCTATTCGCTGCTTTAAGAAAAAGATCTTACAGCAAAAAAAGCAGAAGGACAGGAAGGAATCTCCTCCTGGCTTGGTGTAGTAAAAGGAAGAGAAAGGTCCCTTGGCATGGCAAAAGATCTTGTATAAGACCGCAGCTTTCACGTCTCCGAAGAAAACTAAAAACTAGTTTCCTACACTGGAGGACAAGGGTCGTGTAGATAAGGGGCAGAGAGGAGACCGACAGAAGCGAGCACGGCAGATTGCCACTTTCCAGGGACACGGAGTCTTACCAGGCCCCTCGGTCACGTCCCCGGGAAGCTGGGACCCTCCGGAGAGGAGGGAGCAGAGGTCACACGGACCCCGATGCCTGGACGTCCCAGCGGGGAGAGGGAGGGAGAACGCTAGCTCACGGTGGGAGTCATAGGCAGGACCTGGAGGGTCTCCCAGCATCCCTGCGCACCCACGTGTGCACGGGGAAGGAAAGAAAACCTCTGGGGTTCCGGGGAACTTAAGGAAGTTCTTAACCCAGGGGAAGAAGACACACCGCTGAACAGTGAGGACGATGACTGGGGACCAGAGGACCCGCAACCCAAAACTTTGCCATCACCTTCGCTCTTCTGACATTTTAATCCAGGAATTGCCGGTTATAGAACCGTCCTCTGGGACAGGCGGTTCGGTGAGTTGTAAAGAAGTGAATTTGTATTCCACGCACATCTTTTTCTTTCCAGGACTAGGGGTTGACCTCAAGACCTGGTACACGGTATACGGGAGCTCTCCTGCCAGGCTACGCTTCCACCCTGAGTTTACGCCTCTCCTGGCCTAGGAAGCCCTCACCAGGAGGAGCCCGAAGGAACGCCCGCCCCGCTACTTGATCAAAGGCAGGTAGGGAAGGACACAAAGCTGGGGAGGAAGTTCCAGGCTCCTGTCCTTAGCGTCCAGCTTTGGTGGGAAACGGAGAACTCCAAAAGGAGGCTAGCACGTGACTCCTTTGTGTTCTTTTTTCTGGTTTGGGGTATTGAACGAAGAGGTGCTCTACCACTGAGCTATCTCCCCAGCCTTTTTAAAATTGGGATTATAGGGCTGGGGATTTAGCTCAGTGGTGCCGCCGCCTGCCTCACAAACGCAAGGTCCTGAGGTCGATCCCCGGTACCAAATAATAAATAAAATAAAATTGGGATTATAGCTCAGTGATAGAGCATTTGCCTAGTATGCACAGGCCCTGAGTTCAGTCTCCAGTACCAACAGCAACAACAGCAACAAAATACTAATAATAAAATGTTTAATTTTTTTTTTTTTTTTTTGGTGCTGGGGAGCAAACTCAGTAAAATGTTTAATTTTGAGACAGACTTTTTCTAAATTGCCTAGGTGAGATTTGAACTTGTGATTCTCCTCCCTCAGCCTCCCTGAGGGCTAGGATTACAGGCCTGAACTCTTTAAGGAGACAAAGTGACTCCGCCTAAATGAAGCCTGCCTAAATGAAGCCTGGTGTTGAGAGGGTGAACTTCCTCACTCCAGACCCCAGCTCTGAGCCATGTGGACAAAGTTTTGCCAGAGCAAGGAGAGTGATACTTACGGGTCAGAATGCCAGAGCAATTCTGGGGGTGAGGGTATTTGTCGATGTTCTGAGACAGCTAAGGCCACCAGGGGACAGCAGAGCCTCCGGTACCAGCAGAAGTTATCCCACAGTCAGACCAGTGCCCTGGATTCTGCTCCCGACATCCCCCATAGACAAAGCTTCTCATGGAAGAGCTGGGAGTGAGATAGAAGAGGAAACTGATGATCAGTTTACAGTAGAAACAGAGAAAGGGCTTATCATACAGAGCAATAGCCAGATACTTCTGAGAGGTAGTAAGATCGTTTTCTTCTCGGAGAACAGCTATGATTAAGTGTAACTGTTGTCAGTTGCAAAGTGTATGTTTGTCCTTATCCAATGATAGATTTGTTTAAATTCTCAATGTTTCTTACTTCCAAAGAAAAAAATTTACATTAACCCAAAAAGCCTTCCTTAAAAATGATTTGGGGGCTTTCTCAAACAAAACAAGCACCTACCCAAGTACTGGAAAGAAAAAACTACCACCTATGATTGATTATTACTACATGCCAGGCTCTGTACAAGGTACAACTGTATATGTCTTTAAAATGTAATCATCAAACGTCTCTGTAAAGTGGATAACATTATTCCATGACTTTGCTTATCACACCAGTAGGGATTAAAGAAGTTAAGAAAGTTGCTCAGTATGTTCTAAAGCTGTTTAACCATGCAATAGAAAAATACAATCTAACAATATCTTTCTTCAGCAATGGATGTGGAACCCAGGGCCTCAACATGCCAGGCAGGCATTCATCACTGAGCATCCCTGCAGCTCAGTCTCTTTCTACACTGAAATATTTGTAGAGGCAGGAGAACTGCAGGTTCAAGCCCAGCCCAGTAAGACCCTGGATGAAACCCAGTGAGACGCTACTCAAAAAATACAGAAAGGGGGCCGGGGATTTAGCTCAGTGGTTTCGCCACCTGCTGCGCAAGCGCAAAGACCCAAGTTTGATCCCCGGTACCAAAAAAAAAAAGAAGAAGAAGAAGAGCTGGGATATAGCTCTGCGAAAGCCCTGGATTCAAATTCATCCCCCAGTACCATGCAAACATTTTAAAAAATATTTTTAAAATTGCATGATATATAAAGGACCCTTGAGCTTCTGACATTAACATTAGACTTATTTTATATGTATATATAGATATAGATTTTTTTTTCTTGGTACTGGGGATTGAACTCAGGACCTTCACTTGCAAGGCAGGCATGGAGCCACTGAGCTAAATCTCTGGGCCCTATCCTTATATATTTGATTTTGATCTGATATGATAAAATGGATTAGGTTTCTATATTTTATATCTTTAGGATGTAAACAGAGGCAAATAATGTTTTTACATGGAAAATGAAAACAATAATAAGTTTCCTCCTAATCATTTTTCAAGAGGTCAGAAAGCTGATGCCAGTCTTGTGGGATCCCCATGGACTTCCTGATTCTGGGCAGAGATTGAAGCCAAAAGAAGTGAAGATGTATGATAAAGAGACCCTAGTGTCTCCACACAAGGTTAGACCAAGTAGAAGAGTTCAAACAGAAAGGGGTCAGTTAGGCCTTATTGACTGATGTGTTGAGGATTCAGGATTCACTCCCAGGAGCAACTGTAAGCCAATGTAGGATTTTCAGCAGGGTTGGCAGGAAAGAATTTGCAATTTTAATTTTAATTTATTTATGTTTTTGGTGTGCTGGGCAAACATTGTGCCATTGAACTGCATCCCAAGCCCACATACTTTTTTTTTTTTTTGGTACTGGGGATCGAACTCGGGTCCTTGCGCTTGCGAGGCAGGCAGCAGAACCACTGAGCTAAATCCCCAGCCCCACATACTGATTCTTGAGGTATGTTGCATAAGGACTCCATTCATTTGATTTGCATTTTATTTAACAAAATGCCCAAGTGTTAACAGTGATCATATCACTCAAGTACTTTCATTAGCATATAGCTTATCTAATGGGAAGAAATGTGGCCTTCATTCAGCCTGTACACAGTTATAAGGACGAAGAGCAGAGTCCATGCCTCTGAGAGCACTACTTACTGAGGTGAAGCACTGTAGTATGTGTAGTAATCTAGCAGCAGAGTCAAGACCTTGCAGAAGGAAAGCAGGACATCCCACTGTGGAGGTCAGACAGTTTCACAGGCAACGCACCATTTGATCTGAGTTTTCAGTTCTGGAAGATATATGTGTCTGTAAGTTGTCCATGCCTAAGAAATTAAACCCACTGAGAGAAGACAGCCTGCTATTACCCAAGTACGGGGAGAGTAACATTGGGTGTTACCAGTGGAATATATGATAAGACGGAGAAACTGTGACAGGAAGTTGACTCACTAAAAACCTAATTATAGATATAATTCTCCATTTATTCTCAATCCAAAACTTCTCAACATTCAGAACTATAAACACTCCTCAACCATAAGTAAGTAAACATACAGGATGTTCAGTATTTTCTTCAAAATCTGTGCGTTTTTTGTTTGGGTCCTTGCATTTTTGAGGCAGGAGCCGGAACCACTGAGCTAAATCCCTGGCCCTGTTCTGTTTTATTTTGAGACAGGATCTCACTATGTAGGCCAGGCTGCCCTCAAACTTTTGGTCATTGCCCGGCCTCAGCCTCCCGTGTGCTGGGATTATAGGTGTGTGCTATCTTACCTAGCAGTATTTACATTTTTAAACAGCTAATTAAAAATTCTCTAGATATCTTTATTTTGGTGGAAGGTAATCATTACCATAAAGTTAAAATTTTAGGGCTGGGGATTTAGCTCAGTGGTTTCACTGCCTGCTGTGCATGCACAAGGACCCGAGCTCGATCCCCGGTAAGTAACCCCCCCCAAAAAATTTTTTTAAATGTGTTAATATTTGTTGCATGCTTCCTCCATCATACGTGTTCTATATACTTTATATTGATTCTGCCATATAAAATAAACTCTACATTTACAAAGTGTAGTCAAATGAAAAATAATACAGAGTAAAATATTTTCTGGCCAGTCAGCCATCAAATACCAGTTCTGGAGGAAATCAAGGCTATCATTTTCTTTTGTCTTGAGCATTTTTGTAGTTTTACTACAAGAAAATAAAGATATATATTGGGCAGGGCCTTCATGGGATCAGAGAGTGCTTCCCCAGCGTACTCAAGGCCCTGAGGGTTTCTGTTGGGGGGTGGGTTGCAAGGCCCTTTTTAAAAACATAGGTATTGGGGCTGGGGATTTAGCTCAGTGGTTCCGCTCCCTGCTACGCAAGCGCAAGGACCTGAGTTCAATCCCCGGTACCTAAAAAAAAACAAAAAAAACCAACCCATATGTATTATCTCCTCCCTACCATTGAGAGCCATTCTATATAATTTTGGGGAAAAATAATTTCATAATTAAATTATGATCAGGGCTGCGTAAGGCCCAATGTCTCCTTGCCAGAGAGGTGCTATGGCATGTGGAAACATAACTCCGTTTTGCCTCCTGTCACAAGTTGAGGCCCCAGTGGTTCCATGACATTGTGATGCTCAAGGGCAAGATTACATCAGCTGAAGACATCTTGGTTCTTTGAGAACTGAGTAGTAATAAAACAAGAGAAAGATTTTATCTGGGGGAAGGACAGATTCCTTATGAGCCTATATCTTGTCCCACCTTCTATTGTGAGAATGTTCTGCCCATCTCACCGTCCGTCCTTGTCAACCTAAGGTCCTCCTCAACCAAGGATTACTGCCACCCTCTGAGTCACCCGGTGCTCCCTCTGATTATTGTGTGTGATAGATTTCCCTCCAATTTAGGGTGGCTGCTGTATATAATAGCTACCTTCTTCCCAGCACGCCCCTACTCCCACCAAGAGTGTAACCTGGCGCTTGCTCTCCTCCTGGCAACTAGTGACGTCACAGGCTCCTCCAGTCCCTAGCCACTACCTCCCTCAACCCCACCTCAGCTCCTACAAGCCCCTATATAAAAGGCTCTCCCTGCCCCAGCCATATTGCTTTTGTCTCTCCTTTGTTCAGAGACAGCTCAGCAGATCTGTTCCCCTAATAAAGGCTTGTTGTGGCCTGGTCTGGTCTTGGTTTTCAGCCTTTTACCTGACAGTGTGAACAGTAAATAGTGGCAAGCTGGGAGTGTCTTTGTGTTTGCCCACTCTGAGGCACATACCCCCCCCCCATGTATTATGTATTGTGAAATTGTGTCTCTATTGTCTTTCTTTAGCCCTCACCACCTGCCTTCTAGGCAGATCGGAGGACTGATCAGCCTCCAATACCCTACCCTATTTTTATACTATTATATACTTTGCTTCTTATTAACAATATCTCTTTATAGTATCCCATACCATAACATAAATGTTCCCTCTTTCTTTCTTTTTCTTTTTTTTTTTTGGTACTGGGGATCGAACTCAGGTCTTTGCACTTGCGCAGCAGGCGGTGAAACCACTGAGCTAAATCCCCGGCCCTCCCTTTTTCTTCCTTAAGCATATTTTTTAATTATAAGTGCATCAAAACAGCCCAGTTATAAGGAGACTTTGTTTCCACTCTTTCCCTGCTATAAACTATTGCAATAAATATTCACATATAGATACCCATTCATTCATTTACAAGTACATCTGTTTGATGAATTCTGACAAAAAGCATTTGCTGGTCAAAAGTATGTATAGGACTCTCTAAAGTTTTGTGTGATGGTTGTACTAATGTTCAGCCCCCAGCAATGCATAAGGGTACCTCTCTCTGCCACACTGTCACCCACAAAAGCATTTCTAAACTCTTTGATCCTTGCCAATTGGATAGGGAAGTGTACCTGCACTCATGCTTTCAATGTGTGCCCCAGGTTAAACTGAAAGCATCTTAGCAGACAGGTGGCAAGTGAAGTGCCTTTAGTGGGCACATGGTATCACTGAGTCAGAGTATTTCATTGTCTCCTAAAGCTTGGCCCTCATCACCCACACCCAGGGGCCCAGTTTCACAGATAACATTGAACATAGATACCTTCATACAGACTTAAATATTACTTTATTAATGTTATGCCCAGATCGCGAAGTCCCAAAGACCACCAGGAAGTTGATTCCGATGTAAGCACACGAGGGCTGTTTATTCAAGCTGGAGCAGGGGCTCCCAACCATCACCAACACAGCGGATCAGAATTGAGAGCCCCGAATTTCAAATTAGCTGGGTTTTTATTGTGGTTACAGCAAGGTTTGGAGATTTTTCACTTAGCAGTTACATGATTGGTTGGCATTTTGCAAGCATGAAGTGTATATTTCTGATTGGCTAGGCCCATCGGGGGTTTGAGGGGCGGTTACATGTAGGTTTTACGGGGGAAAAGAGGGACAAAGGTTAGTGGTCGACTGTCACGTACTGATGGTCAGCACATTGACAGATTGTTCTATAGATAGTGGACCCGGAATGTTCATTTCCTGGGCAAACAGATGGTTGAGGAATTAACTTAGGAACTTTGGTTCGTTACAGATTGCGTCTTTAGTCCCAGAGCAAGCACATTTTAACCATTAATTTGTGAGGACAATAGAGACTAGGGGAATAGTGGATTTTAGCAAAATGGAGTCGCTTTGGTCTCACAATTAAAACTAGAATGTGGGGCTGGGGATTTAGCTCAATGGTTCCAGCGCCTGCCTTGCAAGCACAAGCTCCCAAGTTCAATTCCCAGTAACAACAACAACAGAAAAAGACTAGAATGCTTGAAGTCTACCTTTTGTTATTTCCAGTTTAAAGTGATTTGCAAATACTCACTGAAGGTCTGGTCTTTCTAGAGTGTGCCTGAAGTCATTTTGCAAAACAACCAACCAAAAGGCCTTTGACGTCGGAGAGGATGTATGTGGGGCAGAAGAACTAACTACGAGAATCCTGTGCTCACAACATCTGCAGCTACAACTCGGAGACATCATACAGGCATTTACTGGGTGTGAGCAATCAGCATGTTACAGGTCTGACTAGTTTGCAGCTCCAGTGGGCTGCCTGAGGGTTCGGAAGACAGGTTTCACAAAGAAAAATCACTGTCACCTCAGCTTCAGACAACCACTAAATTCTGCCTACGAATCTTGTAGGAGGCGCTTCATATCCATGGAGCAAATGTGAGCATAAAGAAATGGTGTTGGGACAAACAGCCATCTGTAAGTAAAGTTGGAAGTATACCTCATACTGTACCAAAACGAATTTCTGATAGAGAAAACATAAATGTTAAAAACTTTGATCAGAAAATATATATAGCCCAGGGGTGATGGTGCATGCCCATAATCCCAAGCACTCTGGGAAACTGAGGCATGAGATCCCAAGTTTGAGCCCAGCCTGCACAATTTGGTGATTGTCACTCATTCTACCACTAAGCTACACCCACCATCCTCTGTGTGTGTGTGTGTGTGTGCGCGCGCGCGTGCGCGAGCGAGCGTGTGTGTGTGTGTGTGTGTGTGTGTGTGTGGTCTTGTTGTTGTTTTTATTTTCTAGTACTGGTGTTGCATCCAGGTTGAGCAGCCCACCAGGATCAGAAACTCAGCAGCAATAACAAATTAAAGGGATGGAGTTTAAGAAGGGAAGCCGATTTATTTGTAAGGAGGAAAAAATAGAAGACACAAAGCTGCCAGGATAGAGAGCAGGGGCTGCAGATGATATGTGTGTGTCGTCGTGTGTGTCGGGGGGGGGGGGGGTCCGCCCCCGCCCCAGCCCTGGTCCCAGGCTCCTTTTGTTAGGTCTGGGGACCCTTCCTTTCGGGTGGGTGGTAACCTGATCAGTCTCTGGGCGGTCTTTGGGTGGACTCCAGGTCCCCAGATCCTAACCTGGGTACTTTTGCCTGTGTGCACAATCCTTTCGGTGGGCTTTCTTTCACTTCTTGCCCTGTTGTGATCTGCAAGTTGTTGGGAAGGGATCCTTTTAAGGTTAGTGACTAAGTAAAGGCGTGTGTGTATATCTAGTGCAGTAATATTGTGCCTCTACAGTGTTTTTAAATACTAAATAAATTTTCTTGTAAATTAGGTAGCCATCCCTTGTCTCCCTGACATTTTATTGGGGGGAGTGGTGTCCTGGTTTTCATGCTTCCGGCTTCCTTCCTGCCCCGCCTAGGGTTCTTCTAATCTCTCCACTAGAGAGCATTCCTCCCTTGGCTGTAAATTCTTATGCTAATCACACTATCCGGTGCTTTCTAAGTCTGATTTCTCTTTCTCTACCTTTGTCCTTTTAAGTGCACAAATCCAACTGCCAAGGCAAAAGCCTCTTTTAGTAAGATCTATGAATTTTTTTACTAAAGCCTAATGAGGCCCTTATTTTATTCTTTCCCTGCTCACTGGTGTTGCATCCAGGGTGAGCAGCCCACCAGGATCAGAAACTCAGTAGCAATAACAAATTAAAGGGATGGGGTTTAAGAAGGGAAGCTGATTTATTTGTAAGGAGGAAAAAGTAGAAGACACAAAGCTGCCGGAATAGAGGAGGACCAGGGCCTATCCCTACATTGGGGACCAGGGCCTTCACAGTTAACTACATCCCCAGCCCTTGTATTCTGAGACAAGGTTTCACCAAGACACCCAAGCTGGGCTGGAACTTGAGATTCTCCTGTCTCAGCTTCCCGGAGTGCTAGGGTTACAGGCATGTGCCACCACACCCAGCTAAAAAATGGTCCTTTAGAAAAAAAAATAAAAATGGTATGAAGGGGGGTAAGGGAAACTTAGAGATAAAAAAAAGACTTAAGAGATAGATCAGCTAAGTACAATGTGCTCAGAGCCTGATTGGTGCAAATCTTTTTGAGCAAAAGAAGTTTGGGATGTGTATGTCCGTAATCCCAGCTGCTCAGTAGATGGAGGCAGGGGCTGGGGATTTAGCTCAGTGGCACCGAGCCTGCCTGGCAAGCTAAAGGTCCTGAGATCCATCCCCTATACCAAAACAAAACCAACAAACAACAAAGTGGAGGCAGGAGGATCACAAGTGTGAGGCCAGCCTGGGCAGTTTCGACCCTGTCTCAATAAAACTGCAAAAGCAAAGGGCCAGGGTACAGTTGGGGCAGAGTGCTTGCTCAGGGTATTCGAGGTCGGGGTTAAATCCTCAGTAGCACAGTAAATAAATGAATGAATAAACAAATACATAAAGTTAACATTTTTATTTTTGGTGCTGGGGATTGAACTCAGGACCTTGCGCTTTCAAGGCAGGCACAGTGCCAAAAATTAACATTTTTATAATTGTTCAAACTGTAAGGGTAATGATGTAGCTCATTATTCTCTCTGTACAGGGCTGAGTGTGTAGCTCAGTAATAGTGTTTCCCAAGCATGCACAGTGCCCAGGGTTCCAGGGCCACAAACACATATATGATCGCTCCACCTCTGTGTATGCTTGACATTTTGCAAAATATGTATTTAAAAAGAGAGTAAGAAGACAAAAGCTAAATTCAAGCAAGATAGTTCTCTTTCCAGGCCTTTGGTCTAAACGGGAGAGACAGGTGATAGTGGAGGGGCATTTGAAGATTGGTACTTTTTGTTGCTTGCTTTGTTTCATCTTGGACACAGGAGGAATAACAGCATATTTGTACGCTACTGGAAAGAGCCCATAGAAAGAGAAAACTGGATGATGCGGGGTGGGGGCAGAGACTCTTTGGGGCTGTCTTTTGGGGCCCTGTGCACTGAACCCTGCGCCTCCTGCGCGAAGCCAGCACTGTACCACTGAGCTGCACTGGGCCCTGGAAGGTCTTCCAGTGGTCGGGAAGAGGCAAGGCCTGGCATGGGGCACAGGCCTGTACCCCAGCACCCTGGGCAGCTGAAGGGGGGACCTCAAGTTTGAGCCCAGCCTGGGCAATTTAGCGATTTACCAAGAACCTGTCTCAAAAATAAAAACATAAAAAAGAGCTGGGGATGTAGCTCGGTGTAAAGGTCCTGGATTCGACCCCTAGCACAGGAAAGAGAGAGAGAGAAGGAAAAAAGGAAGAACCCGGGACTGGCGCTGCTCTTAGACCGCAGTGCAGCTCAGTCTCCAGCCACAGGGAGACGGAAGGGACGCGGAGGGAGAAGGCAGGGAGTGGGGGCCGCCGCGCGTCCCGTCCCGGAGGGAAAGGACGCAGGGTGGCGGCGGAGCCGCCGAGCCGGGGCTCAGGAACAAAGCGCGGGGGCGGGGGGGGGGG